TTTTTCCTTTTAGAAAGGGTACATTATGAAAACAAGGAATTATCTTGTATAGGGGGAAAATCAGAAGGTAAGGTTAAAGATAACTTTACGCTAACTAACTAGGGTCAAACAGTCTACGACTGAGAAAAAATAAATGACTGCAGTTCATCTCTGTTTGACTAATTTACTTATTTTTCTCTGGGTAAGTATAAAAGTCTCACAGACAACATTAATTCCTGTAGTACACATGAGAACAAACCAGTTTGCTTTTATGAACACCTCGATTGTTGAAAAATTCACTTACTTTAGGGAAAGAAGGTTTCGACTACTACACAGGATACAGTAACACGATAATACAAGTATTTTATCCCTCTACTCCCAATGTACTTCTTCGATGTTAGTCAGAGAACAGGTAATAAGGCGAATAAGGAAAACCATTAGACAAGCCCGCGAGTGGAACCCGAAAGAGAAGCGGCGAGTTGGTCGTCCAAGGGTGACTTGGAGGAGGTCATGTGAAGAGGAGATGAAAACCTGTGGGCAGACTTGGAGCCAGGTAAAGACTCTAGCAGAGAACCGAACGCAATGGAGAAGCACGGCTGAAGCCCTATGTTCCTCTAGGAATTAAAGGAAACAATAATAATAATTAGATAGTCCGAAATACAAAGTATATTTGCGGTTCGGCACTGTTGAGCAGTCATGTGTGCTAATCTACCTGGAGATTGTGTATAAATAACCGGACGTAATACAATAGCATGTCAAATGGTGAAGATGCTTGATCACGTACCTTCACTCTAAAGAAACGACCAGAACAGTGAGGATCAATATCTATTATTGAATGATGAAACCTATAGGCTAGTAATTTCGGAGAGTTACTTACCGCAACAGTACTGTGACCACTTACGTTAACCTTAATCTTCTTACAAAACCCTGAACGCGTTTGGGTGTTTTTGTGTTCTCTGAGCTGGATGGTTTAAGCGCAAAGCTCTGATTATTCTTCAGGAAAACATTTTTGGTCTTAAATTAAAAATAAATTGAGAGTTTAGATTTCTTCATTAATAAAATGAGTGTTTCCTAATGATCTTGAATGTATTGCCAGATATTAAAAGCACCATCTGCATTACAAATTTCCATTATTTCAAATTGGAGGCTTGAATGTACACGCACACTTTATTCAACAATATTCTGTTTGCAATACTACTAACCCTTAAGTGCCAGTATATGCTGCGACATCAATCCGTGCTTAAAATGTGATAATGTTTAATAAAGTAAGAATCAAACCAAATACGCATAGAAGGTATTATGGAGAAACGCTTTAACTACATAGAATTGTGCAATAGAAATTCTAAGAAGCTAAGCTTTTTGCGGGAAACAAAAGCTGAGGGGTAATAGTTTTTTCTTCAGTTTGAGGGCAGATTTCATTAAGAAAAGATATCACTCGGAGAAGTGGTGAAAAGTGAGAGGACTAGGTGAGACCTTAGTCCTAATTTGGGACTGTTTACCAATACACCCATATGACTTTACTGAGGATCGAATCCAGAACCTCCAGGTTAGGCACAGAACACGTTACCGTTGATTAAATGTTATTCTAGTCAATATAATTTTTTCAATCTTAAACATGAGCATCATTTGATAAATATTCATATATTCTCATGATCCCATAGGTTGACCATCACTTTTCCTCAAACTCCACTCAGTCTTATTTTGAATCATCTTAGTATTTCACCTTCTTAGTTAACCCGGAAGTCAGCTCCACATATTCACTACAGTAAACTATCTCTGTCCTATTCCTTTACGTGATCTTCTAGTCGATTTAGTCTGTCTCTAGTTGGACTCATTGGTTTGAATAAAGTCTGAACACACGTCTATCTAAGATTTGCTTGAATTGTCAGTGATGCGTATTTATAGTATGGCACTACTACAGTCCCTTCATAAAAATCTCTTCCATTATTTTCGATTCGTATTCTTTTCTCTATACCATCCTTTATGAATTCTTTCGGACATTGACTTTCAAATAGCATTGAAGTGAAGTGTTCGTTGTTCATGGTTTGTAGTCTGGATATGGTGTTAGTTTCCGTATTGTGTTTGGAAGACTTTGTATTAGCACTCTTTTTATAGCGAGTGTGAACTAAGAAGTCATAATGAGTGTATTCGTTTTAGATTAATCATCACGTTTAAGTTATCCTGCATTATACTTCGCATTTGACGGTCTATTTTTATTTATTTTATTTTGATTACAGCTTGATTACACACCGTATTTTCAGTACAAGTGTGGAATTTTCAGCATGGATATCGGTAGCCCAAATTTTGCAGGCCGACCATAGATATCGGGTGTGCGCCGGCAGGGGATCGAACCCCGGACCATGTGCATGGTCGGCGAGAGTCCTAACCACTGTGCCACCGACGCACAAAATTCATTATTCTATTTCTATAATGAACTCTTCTGAGTCTCTATATGACTGATTTTGTACAAAATGTCTGATTTGCCTACCTATCCAAATGGCATGAATGGTATCACAATTTCTCAAACCACTGGACTGGTTAAAAATTTTCGTGCTATAAACAGGTGTATTTGTAGGGGACTGTCTAGCGAGCTCAATAACATAACAAGCATGTGAATGAAAATGCAAGTTAATGAGATGATAGTGTAACTGTATATTATAAAAAAAATACAGTAATGACGTAAATTTATTAAACGGTTACTTTGATATACAGTTAAAGTTCACGGCTACAAATTATTAATATAATCCACGGAAGCGTTTACTGCTGGAATCATGTCTACCGGTAGAAGCTGTGTACCGGTTGTAGAATAGTCTTCGGATGAGGATAAGAGGTTCCTGCAAAAATCCAAAGTATACAACACGGTTATGAGTGAAGCAAGTAGACAGTATAGACCAGTGAGAAGACAAAGCGACCAACAGTACACTGTATTTTAGATTGTACTCGGTAGTTATCTATGTTCCAACATGAATCGTTTTAAACAAGAGTCATGAACAGTGTCTCTAATTTCAACATCTGACAACAAAGTGTACAATCATATTGTTACGTACTCCACATATTTTTCTCAAAAATCATACTAAAAGAAATTGGTAATCAAAAGGGGTATAGTAATTTGCTGGTTTGAAATCGACTTCAGCTTCTTTTGTAAGAGATATCAGAGACTCTCAAGGCGGAAGTTTCACTCATCAGATTTTCGTATCATGAGTATTGACGTACTGGTATGCCAAGAATTTAACTCTAATCATAATCGACTTTACTTGTAGACAGTTGGAAAGACGCCTGGAGGTAGGTCAGAATGTCGAAGCATGTACATGTGAAACTCGTTTCTGGTTTATTTAGATTACAACCTACGGGATTATCTGTATGGTTTGATAATAGTACCCTTTAATTGAACAAAGACTTGAAACAACTTCAGAGCTTTCATATTATACGCAGTTTCAGCCACACTATAATTTAGCTAGATAGATTTAGTAAATTTAAGACTGAGATCTGTCGCTGTAGTGCGTAAATCGCAACGACTTCTGTTAAACAAATCACAGAAGTCATTTAATTAAAACATTGTTTAACAGCACTGGAAATCTATACAATGAACTATTCATCCATGATAATCAGTATCCAGAGAGTTTTCCATGTTAAGCAATTTTTTGGACGTGTCACAATAACACAGTCCTACTTAATTGGTAGTGTTTTAAGTACAACTTCTTTTCAATAATGTAATAACATTCTACAAATTTCAGATTAGACTTGAAATCATAAGCGGCGGCAATTCTAGCCCTCAGGTATGGCTTATACCCTCTGAATGCAACGAATACACAAGCAAAATTGAAATGTAATTCTTTAATATTTTCAGCCTGACCACTTAAATTCCACTGGTTTTCATCAAAATAAGAGTACAGTCCCTTTTTAATAAAGTCAAAGTATATTGGTTGGAAGCCATTATCAGGAACCCTGGTTTCGCGCCTATTGGCACTCGTCAGCAAGGGTTAGCCGCAACCTAGAAGGGATCGGTATCCTCTCGGACCTGAATGCTGAGAACTAATGATTATAAACATATAACCGTGACTATGCGTCAGTAGCACAGCGGTAGAATGCTCGCCGACCATGCAGGTGGTCTGGGGTTCGATCCCCGGTCGACGCACTCCTTTACCTCGCTAAGCCAGTAATAAGACTCGTAAAGAGGGAAGGTTTGGCTTGAGGCTCATAGCCCCATCCCGTAAAAATAAACACCACTGCAACCAAAACTTCAAGCTTCTAGCTTGAAGTCCTGTTTTCCACTGCGAACGTAAAGGAATAAAAACAACCGTGAATACAGTGATTAATAATATTATAGATAACTCATTCGTCCCACGTTGTTTTTACACAAATATTGTTGACAACTGATCACTTAAGAAAAAATTGTTCATACTCTTAGTAATACATAATTTAGAAGATAACTATCAATACGGCGACAATTTGTTTTCATTCCTACTATTGGGTATCATGTGTTTATATCTTATGATTAACAAAAAGATTATTAGGATTAGAAACAATGGTCTACGCGTTACTAGCCAGGTGTTCTAGAAACTGCTCGTGAGGTTGTTGTCCACTGGTTCGAGTCCTGTCACGGCTCAGATTTTCAACTTTATCCTCTGTTATTACGTTAATGTTCGTCTGCAAACTCAAATTTGTTGCGGAGTGTCCCACCACCGAAAGATTATTGATTAGCTTGTCACTACTGCTCAGAAATACATATCGTTAAAAATTCTATCGTAAACCTGTTAATGAAATTTTTTTTTGAAAATAAACATTAATTTGCTTTCTTGTCGGTACGGAAACTACCATTCTGCTGAATTAAAACAGAGAAATCAATCTAACGACAGTACATTTAATTATTTATACAAAATATTTAAATTACACGTTATCCATAGAAAGGTAACTATACATCTTGAATATTTGAAAAAAAAATAATACATGATATAGAAAACAAATTACATAAAAATCTGTACAAATTATTTAAAGAAAAAAAGTTTATTTTGTCAAGTGTTTTATGATAGTAAAGTCATAATTGCTTCCACTTTAGCCACCAAATGTTTCCCATACATAGAAGAAAGAATGACTTCCCGATAGTTCTCATTCAAAACTAAATCACGCTGGCCAGCAGGTAACTGATCATCTCGTGAAGCACGGTTGTTTATAAATAACTGTATACCTACACCAGCACTCCCTCGTAAGCAAACCAAGCTTTAAAAAAGGAGGAAAAAGAAGGCAAAATATGAATACCCAACTCATATATTACATCACTATTTTGAATGAAGTGAAAAGAAATATTTAAACATAATATTCTATAATATCACTTGTATTTCAAGAATGATCTGCTCCGTAGAATTGCTTGTCCGCGATGGCAAAAGCGTGTAAGTAATCTTGAGTTCCAATGACATAAGTCTGTACATGGTGAAATGGTCTTGAGACACTGCCTTTAGTGGCTTGGACATGCGCTACAAATGCCATCTCAGCACCTCACCGTTTGTTAGTCCTGGAAACGGATGAAAAAACCCAGACGGGTACCCGAGAGATGAAGGACCATTGTGTTGGGTTAGCATCTATTGATGCGTTACGACTTCTTGATTTCGATTCGAAAGATCATGCACATCAGCTGTTCGAAGCATTATCACAAATGAATGAAAATCGAAATCAGTGGTGAAAATGCTGCAACTTCCACCTCTTTTCTCTTTCTGAAAGTAAGCTGTTCCTAAATTATCCTATTACCGTGTTCTTTATGCTGCTGTCTTATTGCTTCTGTGTAGCGCATCACTTGTTGTTCATAGTGTTTCGAATAAAATAAAATACAGTTACGGTTTACATCTATTGAAATCATCAAAGTACGCTATTCCTACTTCTCAGCACTACCTGTGGATTTCATAATTGCGGTTCACATTAACACTATTGTGATCAATTTTAGACTATGTAGGGGAATCCTGATATTCCAGCAACTTCAAATAGGTAATATGTAATTCTGATAATATTCAGAAGAACAATCTTTGGCCTAGTAAATCTATTGCAAAATTGAGACTGACCATTTTTAGCTTCTCTTCAAACTCATCACTGTGCATAGCAGGAGGAACACATGTTCTAAGTAAATTAGTATATAATGGTTCACAAATCTATTTATTGAATAATCTTTCTTATCTAAATCACTACATTTAATAACAACAGTACTTATTCCGAGGTTCCATTAGTTAGAGGAATTTAAGTCATTGACCTCTATGTTGTGTAGCAATAAAATGGAATGGATAAGAGACATTCAAAAACCTATTAAAAGGTATTATTTAAAGACAAAAATTAAGAGCACATAAGACATAGTTAGCTACTTACTATTCACCCGAAGGTGAAGCGAAAATCTTCACAACAACTGGACTATCACTTATTTCTTCAGGATTAGGTATTCCTGAGAATGGATTATTGCCCAAACGTACCCAACCAAGAATTTTTATGGCTAGTATATCCAAATAATTCATTTGAGTGTGCAAGACCTAAATAAATAAATTAGCAGAGTGGATTTTTATTGGTCATAATGAATTCAACAACAACAACAACAACAAAATTTATTTTTGTCGATTTTCTATCGGTCAAACTGAATAATTCGAATTTTCAATTAATAGTGAAAATTTCAATTACAGGTAGAAGTTTTGAGCAACTTCCATGGGAATCGCTAATACGATAGTCATCATATTTTCAACTCATGTCGACGCTGAAACACTGAATATAGTCAACTGTTAGAAATAATGAACAGATCAAAAATAAAAGAGATAACAGATTCAGTACAAACTAGTCAGTTATTAGATAGAAGCAAGTTTTTCTTAAATAATTATTTACGTCATAACATATTGTCTTTCACATGGCTTATATATCTTTCTACTAAACACATCTTTATAAAGTGAAACTTCGTATCCAAGCAAGATTTGTATATTGTCAAACTTACACTTGATCATCAAAGTAAGTCGACTTCTTACGTTTAATTTTTACTGAATCAGATGAGAAATTTAATTGACGATTCTCGCCTCTTGTCTGCTCTAGAATTTCTGCTTGGATTTCCAAATGTTTGCGTGAATAAGTGCTAAAACATTTCTACGTTTCTTCAGAAATAGAAAAGCATATCAAATTTTGCACTGACATAACACCAATAACAAATAACTCATTGTATTCACAACACAAACAATAATGTGGTGTCATTCAGACAGACATAAAGGCAGTAAAACATCAGAGATTATATAACTGGATACTAATTCATGTTGCCACATGTGTGATATGTGTCAATTAAAAAGGAGTGAAAGTGGATACTAACAATTGAAAGTTGTAAAAGTGAAAATGTCGAGAACACTATAAAACAGAACATGATGAGGAGATAAAGCAGATAATGATACTACGGGAAAACGCATCAGTTCTACTATGATCGATTGTAAGTGATATCATCGGATGGATTTGACCAGTTTCTAGTTGCCATGAGGAATTCAGCTAGATAACTCAAACTTTCTTACACAACTCAGAACCACAGCCATGGATTGTTACTACTTTTGGACTGACTATTCTTCCCCTTAGTAGTTGTTGTTAGGTTTCTAAAGTTACCGGTAAAAATAAGAAGGTTGATTTCACGAGGATAGATCTGCTATGTGCTTAAAGGTATATAAATAGAAGGCAAATGAAATATTTTATTAAAACAATTTATGCATTTTGATTAAGTCCTTTAAAAGCCTCAACAACATGAAATAGACGTTCTCTGACATCTCTGAGAGATCCTGTTCCCCAGCCTAAAAGGTAGGAGTCTTTTAGGTTTATGTGGCCCATTATGGAGTGTTAAAATGCCGCTCGTTGGTATGCAGTCATCTTAACCGACTGAAAGTACAAGTTGACAGGATGATTATAGGACTACTTGCCTTCTCATAACTTATGTATGTGTCTCTACTACAGCAGGTAATTTCTACGAACAAACAGAATGATTTTAAATTAAACTTACTGGTCCACAATTTAGCACGATTAATTATAGATAACTTATAATGCTAACTACACTAAATGAAGTGATGCGTAACAACTCACTCAGTCTAGTATCTACTTAGCGGTACGATAAATAAATTACAACTTGAATAATCGTTAAACTACCTTAAACTATTGTTGTTCTTCTTTTGAAAAGTCTGTACAACCCTAAGAACAAAAGCTAACAAACATTACATAAAGTCACTAGTTGTATGAAGAAGTTTAATTTGTTAGGAGTTAAGACAGTTTACTAACAGAAATCAGTTTATGAACAAAATAAATTTATTTTGAGAAGTTTCTTAAATTCCTTGAATCTTTATTGAAAGTTCTAGTGTTATTAAGTAATTTCATATTAGGCTGTAGAGGACTGTGATTCAAATTTATCCCAGACTTAAAATGTTTAGTTAAATTTGGAAATCAAGCATATGCTTGTAGATAATCGCCTTTTCCAACCTTCATTTCGCAAGAACACTGCATAGCAGTTTGTGCCTGTCATTTAATAAATACACGTGTAATAAGAGTCATGTGGAATTTCGTTTTTAGCGTTAACTATAGTGCTTTGTAGTGTGTTCAAAGTAAGTTGTTCCCTTAGTTGAAATTCTGGTTGGTGTATGTTTCAGTGTCATGTACGCCATACTTATTGGTAACTGACGAAAAACAAAAGTAACCTGATCGTGTACAAGTATTTACAACGTGTTGATTACGCTGCTTCCAATCTTACAACTGTGGTTGATATTCCTTACTGGAATTTTTTTCCAGATAGGAATGGAGTTAAATTTTGGTTTATCGGCATATATAAACATTATAAATTGCGACAATACGATCGAGGTGATTATTGCAAATATCACTTTTCATCCCTGTTCACGTCGTCACTTTTAATACGCTTAACAAACACATATCGCCTTTGATTGGCTGAAACCTTCCACGAGACTGTGATTTCAACTGGACAAACAAGAAGCGGCTTAATTGCGACTCTTTCTAACCACCCGTTTTTATCTGTACTTCAGGCATTTACACAAATCAATAAATAGTCTACAACAGATAACAAATTACAAATAAAGGGAAAAACGAACTAGATGACCAAGTGAATGACAACCGTTAGAGAGAAATGATTATAGCCTTTAGAATGTAAGACATGTTACAATGACAGTTGGTGATCCAACTCGAAACTAATAAAGTCCCTGGAGACCAATACTTGAAAAATAATTCAGCATACTGATATTATGAAATGATTTTCTACAGTAGTTTGTCTAAATCACATCTGTTTTTCTTATTCATTTCAGTTCTCAGTGGAACATATGAAGTTTCAGTAGCAGTGGTGTTTTTGTGGGATGGAGTTGCTAGCCTCATGCCCAACCTTCCCTCTTTATAGCGTTTACTACCGGGTAAGCGAGGTTTAGAAGTGCGTCGGCTGTGGATCGAACTCCGGACCACTTGAGTGGTTGGCCAGTGTTCCATCACTAAGCCACCGACGCACTAAATCGTCTAAAACACATAAGAAGTGATCAATCGAATTTGATTTTACAAGTTCACTGTTTTTTTGCTTCCACGTCTTTTCCAAACTAACAAGACGAAAAGCTACCTAGAATGGTGGCCGCATTACAAACATGACTGATAGAATTCAGTCTGCACCAAAGAGAGGACTAGATACATCACACTAGTTACTAGTGTCAAATCAAAATATCCACTACAGTCCTACAGGAGGTCAATCGCGAGCCCGAATAGCTCAGTGGTAACGTTTCTGACTGCAGCATTGTGTGACGCGGGTTCGAATCTCAGAAGGGACATGAGTTCCTTCAAGGTTGCAGATACGCCTTGATGACGAGTGCCAACTAGCACGAAACCTAGGTTCAAGGCTTTCTGCCGACTGCCTTCAACGATCAAAGACGAAAAGCTGTTTATTGAACTTCCATCAAAGAACAAAATCACTTTTTTTCACAAGAATGAACATAGTAAATGTTCATGCAGTTCTTAAAACTGAGCGAACTTTATACAGTTACAACAATTAACCATTTGTTTCTACCAACTTGTAGAGTATCCTAATCCGATACACTATTTACATAGACTGTCAGCTGATCACCTTCATATAGAACCCCAAAGAGGACTATACACAAGGCTAAAATGTATAATACAACTTCACAGCATTAAATTTTAAATAGTAGTGGAATTTTATGGAAAGACAATACACATACCTGGTTCTTCAAAATATCTTTGAGTCTTTTCAAATCTGTGCCTATACGATAGATCCGTGGGGCGTCAGAATATGACACGGAAATACCATTAGACTTAACCGTTACACCTATCCATGTTCGATAAGCATCATAATCTGTACAGTAGAAACACAACCTGACTGATGTTTCGTAAGCTGAATTAAAACAATCCCAATGTGATATAATTTTAACAGGAGAATGTCTGGAAAACTCGGATATGATGTCGTATACCCTAAACAACAAATAAAATGAGAAGCCAGAATTTTAACAAAGCATAATATATCAGTATGCATATAATTTAAAGTTATCTATTTAAGGTAAAGTGCTTGGTTTTTGTAAGCATATACTAACAAACTGCCTTACCCCATTTCGTTAACATCGTTACACGAAACTCATGATTATTATTTCATGCAAATAAGAAGGAAAGTACATTACTCCGGAACTACCACCTCTTTAGTAAACATTTTTCAGTCTGACGAGACCATAAAACCTTAAAAAAGACTCTTAATTCTGATGTGCAATAGGTTAAGGTCTGTTGGTGCATTACGACTCCTTAAAAAAGGGGTTAGCGGAAAGGTATAGTCCTATGGATTGGAATGTGTATGGCAGGCGATAAAGAGTCGAAACCAATGATGACCATGAATGCTGAAGTTTTTTCAATTCACACATTTATGATTTGTACTCATATACATATAGTTCATTGTTTGTTCATTCATTTTTGTGTATTCAGAATTATATTTCAGGTTGTTGACAGTTGTTTTGAGTCACTCTTGTATACATGTATCCGGTGTGACCTTAATGAATATAGATTCTGTTATAAGTCTCTCTTTTCATTTGTTCATATTAATTATTATCCACAATATTGGACATTGTGAATTTTGTCCCATGCATGTGCAGCTGTAGACAAATTTTCTTCTAAACTGTTGTAAGCTTGTGTTCTTGTTGGATGACTTTTAGCTCGGCGTTTATATTATGTTGTATCTTCCTCATTTGTTCCGCCCCATGACTCGCAAAAATATAGCGGAACAAAACGAATATTAATCATAAAACATCCTTTAATACGCAATATCAAATGTGCTTTTCTTGATACTCATAATATACTAAGTTTGTGTCTAAAATAGCATAGTGTGATATGCAGTGAAATATTTTGTCAAAGACAGTATTATATATATATATATATATATATATACCGGAAGGATCTTCTGCATCTATATTGAACATTCGTTAGTAATCTCTCTTTAATCTCCTCAACTAATTAAGCGAACAAGGATAGTTCAACTTTCCATTTACTTAAAACTGTTGAACGGTTCAACATTCGTAAATCTAAAGTTAATGCGTCTCAATCCTATATCCATTTACACATGGCAGATGAGAAATACAGGCTGAAAACTTTCACATATTTATATACTGCGTTAAGAACATCGAATTCTAACTGCATCTTCTCTTATCAAAACACTGAGGAAGTTTAGCGAAGTTCATTTCTGAGTGGTTTGAGTCAGGCAGACTTCTAACAGAATAACCGGTGATATCAAGTAAGAATGATGAGAGTTTAAAAGAGCGAAATTCCTTTAGAATACTTAAAATAGCTTTCTAATTGACTTAGCTCCCTTAATGAAGAACTACTCTACTTGATAATACGATCACTTTTGAATGTCTCCCTTCTTTAAAACAAGCTTTATAGTCCTTATTAATTTGTATTCCCTATTGAATTCGACCTGAAGTGAATATTCTAAGCAAAAATTTGTACATAAGTGCAGCATTTTAAGTCACCACACTTCACAAAAAGACAATGAAAAATTTAGTGATACTACAGTAAATAGAAATCCGTGGTAGAAAGGAAAACTAAATGGAGAATAATGAGGCCTTAGTAAATCGGTGTGATCAGGAGTAAATGAGTCTGAACCACTAACGACCTCTAGTCAATGCATGTGTCTGTCTCTGTCTGGATTCAACATAGAACTTGGCACCGAAGTGCAGCAGTTCGAGTTGCCACGTTCCAAATAGCACACAAAGGTGGACAAGAAAATGAGTGAAGAGAATCAATAGAGTTTTGACAAGTATAAGAGTGAAACAGAATGAGTAATGGTAGAAAGGAATATGAAAGGTTACAGAGACTGAATACATCTGCGTAAGCCATTGACAACGATTTTGAGCCATGTCACCTATTGTCTCCAGCCATTGACTCTTAGAGTCCCGAGGGCCCCAACCCGGAAGTCTGCATCTCCCTACCTGACTCAGTTTAACTGTGAGTTCTTTTACTACATAAAAACACTAAGTTCCTTCTGATTCGGGAGTTTTCAGTTGGATGTACCTGCTCCCCAATGTGCTGTTCTCACTGAGATTAGAATCTTACACCAACAATTTCAAACAATAAAGCACTATTCACTAAACAACCGAGTCGGTTGTGTACCAGATAGTATTCACTGAAACTTGTGACATGTTAACAAAAACGAAATGTCTCGATTCTGTAAAACAAAAATTGATGTATCATAAGTCTATCAATTTTAAACTCCTTCTGAAGTTATTTCTGTTAGCAAGCTGTTTCCACTCTTTTTTTAAAAAAAGATATAATATATGAATCAACGATGTTGAGGGCCAAAGTTATGAGTTTATTCTTATCACTAGAGCTTTTTAAAAACTTTATTTACGGTTATACTTAATAAATGTGTATTGTAGCGACGTATTTTCGTTGTGAATCCACCTACCAATCAGCATGCATACACACCCATAAAGATAGCATAGGCATGTTTTGGGATACAGTAAATGACAACTTGTTACCATAGTAATAGATAATAATAAGGTTATATTATATGTTCAGTTGTTTTGTTTATCAGTATTAAAAACAGTGGAAAAATGCCTAAATAACTATGGTCACTGGTTAGTTGACTCATAATAATGCTAAGAATAATGCAGAATGTGAATTAGCGTTTAAAGAAGTCAGGTCACTCTTGTTGTATGTATACGGATTTAACTACTTGTCTTATATCTTTGTATTGAATATAATAGATAAAAATAAGTGAAGCCATACTTCTCTAAGAATATATATATATATATATATATATACGAAGAAAATGGCTATTCACTTCTTCCTCCTATGTAAACAACTAATCATTATGCTTGTTGTGTTTCCTTTCAAATTTAAACAAAAGAAAACAAAAGCTAACATATTTTTCAATGTTTGGTATTGTTTTTAAAATATGTAAACACAAATTCTGCTATATAAATTGGAAACCATTGCATGCAGTAATAAAGAGTATTCCTTCTTTTAAGGCCTTCATAATTCTATTCCGTGCTGATTTATCATAATTTATAGTTTCGTATCAAATAACTATGAGAAGAAGAATTGCTTAAGCAAACAAATGTTTCTCTCTGAAGCCCAAATTTATAATAATTATGAACACCTTGCTCAATGGTCAGCGAAAGATACATGTTAAATTTACGCTTGAATTATCAGCAAATAAGGTGTTACTTTTTCAATACAAAGATTTGAGCTTCTTGTCGATAGAGTATTAATTTTCAAGTATTGGTTTGTAGGGATTTGGTTTGATTGGTTGGAGGATTTCATTATGAGTTGACACTGGTTAGAGAACCATTTGAAAACCTGGGAGTACCGAACAGCTGTTTCGTTCCTAGTTTGGGACTGCGAACTGATGAAGAATCCCAAACTAGGACAAAACAGATGTCTAGTACTTCCAGATTTTCCAATAGTTCTCTAACCGAGAGTAGTAATTAAATATTTATGGCTTACAGCCATAAAGCGATTCCAAATACATTTATTTGGCTTTTTTTCATTTATTTCACACAATGAAAGATAGAATCAGGTGAGAAATTAAAAAGATTTCCTATTAAACTTTTTGAGTACATAAAATCAATAATTTAAAGAAGAAATACAAAACTGACACACAGTAAGACACTAAGAAGCGAAATAGATTTGGACACTTAACATGTCCACATGTGATTTTAGAATATAGAAATACTCATAATCAAAGTAGAAAGAAAAGACATATGGGTGAACAATATTGTTTTAAAATAAGATCTCCCTTGAAGTGATCAATATTTTCCCTAAGTGAAAAATTTACACCTATTTATTAAACGAAAGCTTTTAACCAATAAGATTATTGGAGAAATAGTGACATATCCGAATAAAGACTGCATCAGTTCAACAGTGAGAGTAATAGTGTGACAACGGCAGGACAAAAGAGTATCTGGCAACGGAATTACTTATTGCCAACTCGACGTACAGATATAGGCAAAATACATCTACTATATATTAGAATCACAATTTGGAAATACCTTTGGTACTGCGCTACTTTTATCTTCCGTATTATGCTTCATTATCTTTTATGTTTTCCATGTTGTTTCACAAGCAATTTTCATTTCTTCTCTTCGCTATTCTTGTAGATAATATAAATATTTACATCTGTGTCTATATACTACTTATAAATCTTGTCAGTAGCAAACACCAAAATAGTCCATTTTATTAGCATTTATAGAATGCCAGAAAATAAACTAGGGCATGGACATGTACCAATAAAACCTAATCATAACATTATACAACGGTTTATACTTCACTTTGAAGAGTACAGTTAAGGAGTGTGCTACTGATAAGATTTATCAGTAGTGTATAAAGAGAAGTTCATCAGCATAAAAATATCAAACAGAGGAGTGACAGACTTGACAGCAAAGAGAGCAAATGAATCAGAGTTGCGGTAGAACATGAGACAGGGAAATAAGACAAACAAACACAACACGAAGGGAAGAATTAACACGAGATCTGTGCAAATGAAGGCTTGTAGAAAAGGTGTACATACTTTCGGTATGTAGAGATACCAAATTCCAAATAAACATTCCATTACCAAGTCTCTTGTCTTCTACCGTTACAGAGTACCGCAACTTTCATTGAACTTCTGTTCACTTACGAGTGAAACTTTAAAGTACTTACGGACATAATGGAGTAGGGAATAATTCATATTAAAGAAGACCTAAAGTCTTGTAGGACTTCATCAAAATCAGAAAATATTCTGTGGATGATACAAGAGGTGAAAAGAATGTCAAAAACGAAATTATACATGAAAAAAATCTACATAACACATATTTTGCTTGATATTTTGATGAGAACAGCCGTTCCTTGATATTATTTGTACAGTTGATGTGATATTTTTTTATACAAAGTCATACTCATTAAAGAATAGAATTTAACAAACCATACAGTTATTCTGAGATGACAGTTATAGGTTGGTATTGTGGCAAAGAATATTTTCATGTTGATTCGTTTACCCAGTGAAACACACAGTGAGTAATACATTGTTATTTCCTGGATGACGACTGTAGCACAATTTATTGCCTATAATCCCATCAAAGAATTCACACAGCATTCACATTCAATTTTTATGCTTATCTAGTGTCTTGTTGCTTTGTCTTCAATGGTAAGAGAATTGTTCAATCAGTGAGACGACTTAAACTAATGAAGATAATTGGCACGGTGTATAGGTTCTATGTATACAGCTTCTACACAAAATTGACAATGACTGCACTGAAGAAAAGACTAGATAAAGATTATACACTAGTCGAAGTAAAGATAAACTATTGGCAAACACTCTTCACATAAGAGCAGTCATGTAGACTTACTAGAGTTCACTATGGAAGGAGAATAATGCATTTTGGGAACTGACCATTGTAGACCGTTAAATGTGAAGTATAGTGCAGGATATAATTTAGTGAATGGTGACTAGTAGTGGAATTCAGAATGCACATTTCGTCCTATTCGGGACTCGTCACCCGGATGTACCTACGCATCCCTCAGTGGGTGCATGAAGAGAGGAATAATCTAAAACCAATACACTCATTATGACTTCTTAGTCCCCACTCGCTATAAAAAGAGTGCTAATACAAAGTCTTCCAAACACAATACGTAGACTAACACCATATCCAGACTAAAAACCATGAACAACGAACACTTCACTTCAATGCTGTTTGAAAGTCAATCTTCAAAAGAATTCACAAAGGACGGTATAGAGAAAAGAATACGAATCGAAAATATTAGAAGAGAGATTGTTATGAAGGGACTGTAGTAGTGCCATACTATAAATGTGCATCACTGACAATTCAAGCAACTCTTAGATAGACGTGTGTTCAGACTTTATTCAAACCAATGAGTCCAACTAGAGACAGACTAAATCGACTAAAAGACCACTCAAAGGAATAGGACAGAGATAGTTTACTGTAGTGAATATCTCGAGCTGACTTCCAGGTTAACTAAGAAGGTGAAATATTAAGATGATTCAAAATAAGACTGAATGGAGTTTGAGGAAAAGGTGATAGTCAACCTACGGGATCATGAGGATATAATAATTTAGGAAGTTGTTTATCAAATGACGCTCAGGTGTAGGATTGCAAAAAAGTATTGACCAGGAAAACATTAACGGAGTAATAACGTGCTGCTCTTTTGATCTCTTGATCCTGATGGTGTCATCGGTTGATACTGTTGGAATAAAAAATCTACCCACGCTTCTTGACTTTTAGTAGTTCTCTAAGCAATAGCAGTTCATGACGAAACCTACTTTGAAATAAGGGAGGTAGCATTTTGCTTTTATTTCCCCTCAGAAAGTAAAGGGTTGTAGCACAGATAAGCTTAACGTGTCTACGCTGGCCAAGAGAGAGAACAAGGTGAACCAAACCTATTTTTAATACTGGGAATGAGATTACTTTCACGGATTCTCAAAGACTCAGGTGTGTAGAAGACGAATCTAAATGAAATTTGAAAAGTCCACTGTAATACGATGTATAATAAGAAGGCCTTGATACTATTTATTGCGTAGCATGTCGACGATCGTTGGTATTTCAAGATACTGTTTCGACTTCAGACTAGTAATCAGCTCCAATAAACTTGTAGATTCATAAGGAATTCAAGGTTTTCTCATCACTGCTGCTGAAGCCCTATGTTCCACTCCAAATCCAAGGGAACCATAATAATAATAATACCCATCAGTTGCTTTACACTTTAATGAAGTAATTAGAGTAATACGTGACATAAAGTCACTACTGCTAACTTGTTTAACTGAAAGAGGTCCCAGAAATCTCTTAGGACAGTTAATTTATTCTTTTAAACTCCATATATATGCTTACTGTTTCTCACCTTTCACTGTAATAAAATCAAACTACTGATCTGTAACTGGAACATATAAAGACTTCTATTACTGATTTCTACTTGAGTATATCCCTTTTTCGAAAATATTTTTTATTACGTTGAAATTATTCGATTCTACAAGCCGATGTCAGTGAGAATAGCAGTAGCAAGAAAGGTATGTTAGAAAATTGCTTTGCCTCAATTTTTAAATTCTAGGTGATGCACACCCTCAACTATACAACGCAAATCGTCAGGCAAAGGACGTTACTATTTAGTTACTGCACTGACATTCGATGATCTATAGTTTTCAACTTCTATCCATTTATAATACAATTTCACTGTAATGCAACGTCATCGGTATCCTTCGATACACACTCGACTTCACAGACCTTAGCAATCACTCGAACACCAGTAAGTACATACTGCAGAGAAAGGAATCTGTCCAATATTTCTAGATTTTAAGTTTTTATTAGGAACTTCATTTAGTGAAGCCGATGGAAACCAGAGAGTACTAGATAGCTGTTCCCTTATAGTTTGGCGCTCTTCAAGAGTATACACCCATGATCCCATTACGGATCGAACCCAAAACCTACAGGTTACATGGCGAGCTGGTTGACTATTCAGCCACTGGGATGAAATCCGATGACCCATCAATTCTAACTCCCGTCAATTCATTTGATTTCAGAAATAATTGTTTTTGAACCCAAATGTACCTCAAAATTAATCAGAAGCTAAACATCTGCGTGTTTACTTATCCATATTGTGCACATTTAAAGTAAACAGTGAGACAAAATGAATGCTTTGAACGACCAGATTTGGTGTTATATCTCTAAGGGCCATTCTGACAAAAAAATTATAGAGCTCTTATGTAGAATACATGAAAATGCAGTTAAGGTATGTTTTATCAACTTACTGATCTCGAAGATAATAATGTCGACACATTCTGATGGTGCGGCTAAATAAAGACAAATTTGTCCCAACTACAGTCTTCAGTGCATTATCATCAGCACCTCGAGATAACAAGGCATGTTCTATCGCAGCCAAGCCAGCAGAAACAGGAACTGAGTCGTCTACAGAACTTGAGGCACGATTTCCACTTGGAAAAGAATGTCCCCATTCAGTAAACATTGATAGGCGATCTTGGCCAGCAAAAGTATGCTGTAAACGCTGGCTGTAAACATCTGTTCTATCAACACTATTTAGATGACTTCTACCAGAAGCTTGAAGAGAAGACCAAGCAGAAGCAACTTGAGCAGCAAAGCCTGAAACACTACCAACAGGAACAGAACATCCAGCGGAAGAGCTCGAGTCGTGCAATGATGATGAAAACTCTGAAGCTGGTAATCCATCTGCGCCAGCTGCACGATAATGTAATGGAACTTGTACAGGACCACACGTAGGTTGGGGCAAACTGGCAAGATTTGGCCAGGCCGTACGATGTTGAGCTGCTAACATACGATGCAGTTGTAGGTGTAAAGAATTTGAGCAACTATCAATGGAGGTCAAGCTATCTGATGGCCTTTTATCTACTAGTTCAGCCTTTACACAATCTGAATCGTCCTCATCCAAACTTGATTTCATGTTAAGCGATATAGATATCTGTACTCCGGGGAATAATGTGGCTACAATCTCTTCCTAACATGAAATAATCACGAAACAATAAAAGACAATTGAAAGTAACTCACGTTAAAAAAAGCATTAACAAAAGTATACAGCTACAAATGTATGTATTGAAGAAGTCTTTAGAACAGGTATGTACATACGCCTGCATAATACTTAATAAGTGTAACTGCTGTTTAAATGTACACTTAGATTCACGGATTTTTAGTTATATGAAGACTTCCTTAATAAGTCCAATTTATAAATACATATCAATATATTTTCTGTGGGGAAGTACTGAGACGCAGTAACGATGAAGTGCATTGATATGCCTGTCTGAAATCAAAGTTTCTAGGATCGTTATCGAAAGTTCCAGTGCTTTGTAAGTCAACATAATCAGAGAGATGTTGAAGACATACTATTGCTGTATGCTTATTTACTTCTTACAGCCTATATAATTCATATTAAATGGTATTGACAATGAAAATACAAATACAAGAGTTATGAAACTAACTTGAGTTACAAAGGCAATGGAATCGACGAGATAGTTGCGTCCTCTTGAGTTGCATGCTTCATAAGCAAGTTGGAATAGAATCTCTCGACATTCTAACAATCTCTGAGCTTTAAACAGTCTCTGCCTCTGGGTGAGTGGTTGTAGATTTTCAACCTGTTGTTGTTCACTACATACAGCTTTCATCAGTGATGTAGACTGAGAATCGACATCTGATTTGACGAATCTAACACTTAAACCACCAGACCCACGTGACACATTTAAAAGGGCCTCCATGGACTGTGAAAAAATTACCTATAAGTTAATATTAAAAATAGAACAGAATGAGGTTAACAAGTTGAAAGGTGGAAACAACACTAATTAATTCGGGTTTACGGAAACTACTGCAACAAACTGTTTGTACACCTTGACGTTTAAGATCCCCATTCTCCGCACACTGATCATTTCACTTCTCCAATTCTAAAGATTATTTTATTATTTCTTTTTTTATTATTCCCTTGAATTCCAAGTGGAGCATAGGGCTTTAGCCACACATATCTATTTTGTTCTATTCTCTGCTGTCCTCTTCAGCTGGGCCCACAAATGCCTATAATCTCTCATCTCCCCATGTCACCCCCGCACTGACCACCCAATCGTCGCTTCCCATCTGAATTCTACTTGAGCGATGGTCTGGTGCGCGATGCCATTCGACGGCCTCCTCAAAGTATGCCTGATCCATCTCCATTATCTCAGACATATTTGTTGAGCAATCGGCTCTTGGTTGGTCTGTTGCCAGAGTTTCTGGTTGCTAATTCTTTTAGCAATTTGATATTATTTCAATTCTACAGAATGTCCACCAAAAACATGTTTCTTGACGATAAGCGATTAATTTCCTGCATGGTGAAGAAATAATCACCTATTAACTTGATTAATTAGGAGTATGGAAACGGTTTCATATGGCTCCTGAAATGTTTTTAGTCAGTTAGGGCTACAATGTGTACTAAACGCCACCTTATTTAAACACATGTGCATATATGTTTAAGCATCCACTTAAGCAATAAACCTTACACGTACTTAAGTCTGGCTAACCAGACAGTGTCATCAACACTTATGACATGTGAGGTTCATGACCAAATTGTTAACTGACAGGTAACTACAATATGTAAGATATAACAGTTATGATAAATATTAGTCCAAATTGTCACGTCAATGAATTTAGATTGATAAGGATTAGGAAGAAAGACTAACTCAAACACTAGTGTGACACATACAAGCAGCAGTTGTTTTTTTATACAAAAAACAATTCAGGGTATGGATTAAAAAAAGAGGCAGTTCATTCTCGCAGAGATTACTGAAAAACGTAGCTAATTAATATCATAAACAGAGTTTATGTAGGTCAAAATGAAAAACAATTTTCTGCAAATTATTCACTAACTCAGTAGTCTTAAACTTAACAAGTCACTCAAAACAACCACAAAGGAAAATGCTATGTACATTGGTAATAAAAAAAGAATCATAAGACCTAGAAATTTACGGCAGTTAGTGCCTTACCGTGACTCCGGATAATGGATCCACATTTTTTTGATCCTTTGAGTTTTCATTCAGTTTTTGGTCAGCAAATATGTCGGACTCTCGGATTTCAAAATTTCCACATTCCTTAAAGTGAGAACCAACTGACCGTAGACTGACATCACCTAAAATTGAGTTTTGGTAAAGTTTTAATCTCCACTCTTGACGTAGATGCATCAATGCCATATGAAAGGAGTTGTGAGGCAAATCGGAATGTTGCAGCATAGATGGATTAAAACGTCGTATTCTAGCATCAGCCAATTCGCTATGCCTTCGACGAAGACGTTCAGTCCCCTTTATCAATATATCAGCAGCTGCAGCGATTGACTATTCAATTAAAAGTTAATCAAGACGGAATTTACGTTAAACTAACTCGTTTTTTCCCAGATAAAATCAAAGGAAGATTGGTTTCAAGTGGATCACCAGCAACAGGATTAATCGCCAAATATTTTCCCTCTTTGATAATGCCAAGAACATCTACCAGTGCATTGATTTCAATCATCGTCGTACTAAATACTAAGAATAATACTCTGAGAACCATACCGCATTGTTTCTTTAACAGTTTCCCATATTTTTGGAGATATGACGTTTTTAGACGGTAATTCCGACTCTTCAGAGCTACAACCTTCAGAAAAGTCTAATTGATTGACGATTCTTTGGAAGTTTGCAACTGGCGTTAAAGGTCTGTTTATTTCGATTTCTAGATACAAAAACGTACTTTTCGAGTATTTCCTGCCCATCCAAAAGTAATTCACGAATGTCATACTCGGCAAGGGCTTCTATAGGAATTAAATGTTGTCCAGAGGGAACTGGCATGACCTAGTAAGAATCATACAAAACAAAAAATAAATAGTGACACGAACAAATTGCAATAGGTTTCTAAATTCCTTGATGCCTATTTCAGTTAAATAACTGAGTATAATACAAATGGAGAGGATATTTACACCCAAACAAGAACAATTTGATAAAGTGTACTTTGACCACTTCCCTTAAAATTTGCATGGGCATATGCAGGTTAGTGACTGATAAAATTTCGGCACCACTTCTGGGACGCGCATGTGACTACTTATCAATAGCTATAAATATTCTGTTGCGGCACAGTGTCTTAAGATATGACTATGTAATATAATCCTCAAAAATATATTTAAGAAGATCTCGTGGCATCAGAAATGACTGCCTACTACTGACTTAATAAAGTTATGCTCATCGTCAGATATTGATCAGGAAATACTTAAAATTAAAGGGAGATGTTTCACTTATCTGACCTGCTCAAATTGGACATGTTTATTTTGCTCATCTTTGGTTGCATTTTAACTTGAAGTAATGTGTGGGCTTGTCTTCTGTCCGTTACCAATAGTCCCTTTTCCTCACTTACTTGTTCTAATGAAGGGAATTTAAGTTTTATAAAGGCTTCAGGACCATTAGGTTTGCTGATCAGCACACTTCACCGTAAAAGAATCACTTACAGAACTAAAAACAGTATCGTTAGTGTGAACCTAATAGTTTGATTTAACTGTGACACTGGTCAAGTAATAACGCCCCCAAAGACGCTTTATCACTCATCGGCAAATCCATTTAGTCTCTAGAAAGATGATACCCTAATATTGGGAGGTTTTGCTGATTATATAGAAAACTTACACCGTTTTTGCCGAGCATGCTTCACATTAACTCCGGTGACTGATGCGATGCATACTCTTGGTGAAAAATAACAATGATTTACAGACATTGAAAGATCGTTCATGACATTACCTCTAAATACTTTTATATACGGATATGAAAAGTACATTGTCAATGACTAAAAAAGATGTTCTACAAACGGTTTTCACTTATCAACAGAAATGAAGGAAAGGAGGGAATTCCATATCTCTAGGGAATTCGCAGGGACTAAGAAAATACAGTCTGTCCAAAATCAAATACGTATTTGAATAATAAGCTGGAACTTCCTTCACATTTAAAAAATCCAAAACAGTAACGATTAGAAATTAATAAAAAGGACACTTTAGTGTGGTGAACAACATCAACTACAAAAATAGTCAGAGATATGCAGTTAGTGGGCTACCCGACTAACTAATCAAGGTAGGACTTGACACAGGACTGCATCAGATTGTCTGTTTTCGACATACAAATTTGCACATATGTGCGGCAGTTCAAGTCGCCACAATCCATGTAGCACGCAAAGCAAGAGAAGAAAGTAGAAGAAATGCATAATAGAGACAGTAAACAGAGGTGTGAGACAAAGGAATAGTAATAACGAAGAACAATACAGTTTCATTGGAAATCATAAGTCACAAGGAGTGGATGCATCTTCGCCACCCATTGACAACGATTTTGAGCCATGTCACCAATTATTTCCAACCATTGGTTTTTACCGTCCCGAGGACCCCAACCAGGAAGTTTACACCTTCCTACGTGGCTTAGACTAACTGTTGTAGATTTCATTGACTGGTGCCATGTTTTCGTTTGACCGCCGCTAGCTCTTTTCCAGCCTGACCCTATATCAGCTAACATTGCCCGTCGAGGAAGGCGATGACTAGGCATACGTAACACATGTCCTAACCATCTCAGTCGATGTAATTTCACAGCCTCGTCGACTGATTTGCCCTACCAACTACCTAGCACTCGACGCCTAACCTCAATATTGCTCACCTTATTATACCACTTCACACGGGAGATAGAACTCAGGCACCTATGATCAAAAACAACTAGCTAACATTTTCATGTCTTCCACTCTCAATGGTCAGGTCTCACAGCCATAAAGGAGGACGGAGCGGACTGATGAGCAGTACACCCGCCCTTTGGTCGATAGTCGGATATCACGTCTACGCCAGAGACGGCGTAAACTGGCATATGCAAAACTAGCCCTCTGTATTCGTGCTGAGATTTTGTCAGAGATCAACCCGTTGGGGCTGATGGTACTTCTCAAATAAGTGAAGCGGTCAACGTGCTCTACCACTTCACTTCCTATTTCTAATCTAGGAGTCGGTGTTGTCCAATCCTGTAACATCATCTTACATTTTACAGGTGCGAATCGCATGCCCAACATACGAAGATTGCAGCTCAAGGTGTTCAGAAGACTCTGCATTTTGTCAGCGTCCTCGCCTAGAAGGACTACATCGTCTGCATATTCTAAGTCAACGAGATTCTTCCCTGGTAGCAAGTCAATCCCTGAGTCTCTGAAGTGAGTTAGGGTTAAGTCCATTAGTACGTCTATGATGAAGTTGAATAGGAATGGGGATAATGGGCATCCTTGACGGACGCCACTAGTCGTCACCACTTCAGATGACAACTCGCCGTAAGCCCTCACCTGGCTGCATGAGTACGAGTAGAGTGCCTTAATCAGTGCATTGTATTTTCTCGGCATTCCCTTTACAGTTAAGCATCGCCAGAGAACCTCTCGGTCGACAGAATCGAATGCCGCTTTTAGGTCAAGAAATATAGTGATTGTTGGACGCCAGTAGGAATGCCTATGTTCTAGAATCTGTCGAAGGGTGAAGATATGATCAATACACCCTCTACCTGGCCTAAAACCTGCCTGGTTTTCTCGTGTTTGTGCCTCCCGAGCACCACTTAGTCTACGCAGTATTATTGGGCCTAAGATTTTAGATACTATATTAGTCAAGCTAATCCCTCTGTGATTATCACAAGAAGACTTGTCTCCCTCTTTGTATATCGGGATTATCAGTGACTTACACCGACCCAATGGAACATCCTCTGATTCTCAGACGCTGCCTAAACCTTTAGTTAACGCAGACAGTAAACTGTCTCCACCGTACTTTAATACCTCTGGGTCATTCCATGGGGTCCCATAGCTTGGCCTAGTTTCAGACTAGTGACAGTATTAATAACCTCATTTAGGGACAGTGGACCTGTGTCTATATCCTGTTCAGGGAGGTGTTGGATGTTCGGTAGGTTGAGCATGGCTGTAGGCCAATTAAGCTGCTCCTCATAGTGTTCTTTCCAACGTGCTAGTCACCTATCCTGGGACCTATTATGGTGCCATTTTTCCCCGAGATTGTTTCACTTATCATTTGCCTTTTACCACCTGTTTCCCTGATAAGCCTGAATAGTTGTCTGGTGTTGCCATCAGATTAAGTTGTTACAGTCAGAAAAAGCACACAAAATAAGGAAACATGAACAAATTGATAGAATAGAATAATATGGATGCGACGGTGAAAATCATTAAAAGATTAGTGAGGTGACAGGCAGTGGAACTATGATACACATTTTTGAGACATGTTACAAATATTATTTATCTACTGACTCTTAATGTCCCGACCGCTTCAGCCAGGTAATCCACAACTTCCTACGTGGCACAGAACAACAGTTGGTGTTTCAATGGATTGGTTCCACCACCAAACAGTTTCCAACCTATTTCCAATTCACCTAACACTGCCCTTGAGGAAGGCAGTGGTTCGGCATGCGTACCATATGTCCTAGTTAATTAAGTTGATGAAGCTTTATAAATTGGTCGGTTGGTAGACACTCTGGATTTTATACTATGCCTGATCTTATTCTCGCCAATTGCATTGCTTCAAGTAACACAAATAAGCAAATGTATCATTAAAGCCTTTAATTCTTTTATACGTACTTTTAACGACTGTTTGATAGCTATACAGTAAGACGGAAAGTGTAGCGCAGTACACACATTTTTGATAGACAGCGGGATATTAAATCTGATCTAGTCTGAGAATACCGAACGAGAATGTCCTACACATGCTGAAATGTCGACTGAAATCAATCAATTGGGTCTCTCGAATAAACGAAGTGTTCGTCACATTCAATCAACCACTTCGTGTCCTTAAATTATAAGACGATGCAGTCCGACTGTGAGACATTTTACATTCAACTGATGGTATCTCATGTCAGGCATACTAAGTGCCTCTCAGGGTACTTAGAAGTTTCTGCATTTTATCATCACCTGAATGGACAACTCTAAATGAATAAAAAGTTAATTTGATTGTCAGCCAATTGCCGACAGATTCAAATGAAATTCAGTTACATTCATAAAAAAAGAACGTTAACACTAGGCATCTGAGACATGCACTAGGGGTTACGAACTATCTGAAAGCACATTAACTGCTGTCTTAGTCCAGGTTAGCCAAATATACTTTCTTCTGCATTTGCGAAAATACTTCTGGATCGAGAAAATCTACTGTCACTTTTACGTGAAGAGTGGTGAACAACTGTAATGCAGCTGAAGGTCAATGGAACTGCCTCTTAAATCGTTTTGAGTAGCTCTCAAGGTTATCATTACATCTCTTTCGGTGACCGTTCTACTTGCTGCAATAATTTGTCAACCCATTCACTTAACAAACCTAAACAGTTAGAGTTTTAACTGAAACTAACTCGCCTTCTGTTTCTGACGTTCTCATAATCCAAAGTTTTTATTCTCATTTAATCAGTGCATGCCTAATCATCATTCAGTATTCATCAAGCTTGCAGCCCTCTGGGACTACCCTTACCGGGCTGCTCAGTTTATGTGCTTACAGAAATTTACTGGCTCTTGTTAACTATTGACTTCATTTCTTTGACTAGAAAAGTCAACGGATTTCCAGTGTACTGCTAAAAATAACAACTTTGCAGGGTAAAATTATCATAGCCAAAACTAAAGTGATCTTGAATGACGAATCATAATTCAGATTCAATAAGGTAGCATAAAAGTTGAAAAATGTACTAAAAGACATTGCAAACATGATATTACACTATTTAGTTGGCGTTTATTCGTTTTAAGAATTTCTCCCAGTCACTACACAGAAGATCTATAGAGAAATCATACAATGCGCGAGAGATGAATTCATCCAGGTGACTGTACTTTAATATCTATTGATAATTCTGATTGTGTTCCTTGGCCTACTCCTAACTCTGACCCCAATACAAACCTTAACCATAAACCCTAATGTAAAAAAACATAACCCTACTTAACAGTATAGATTTACAGAAAAAATATCTAGAGAATAAGTGGAATACTGTATCTACCTTCTCCAAGTCCAGAAAGGCAGGCGTGATTTTATTTGGAATGACTTTCCATAGCATCCCATGTATCTGATTGGTTCTTGAAGGTTATATCTTGGCTTTAGCTATGATACTTAAACTTCGCCAACTGATTTTTATAATGATGCAGGATTAAAACAGATAAAAATCATAACTACTGAAAAAGATAAATGAAAGCCTTGTCGTCAGTACACCAGTATTATATAAGTGTTTTTCGTACCAAACACGTTTCGCACGTATATTTTTAGCCATATGACAGGTGGCTGTTAATAATTCCTTACTATAGTGATTGACGAATTACAAAGCAAGCAAAATCAGCAGTATATACACACGGACAAGGCGAGACACCTCAAAAAAGTATTACTTCCATTAAGATATATGAATATTGAAATAGAACGCACAAAAAGAAAACAGGTTTATACCGTCACTACAATATAAACATGAGGAGTACGGATGTCATGACAGAGAGCTCAAAAAGCGTATTTTAGTCGGAGAACTATTTCCTAGCCGTACACTCATACAGTAAAGTTTGAACTCGAAATACGTATTTTGAACATTTAAATACAAATTTTATTCAGTTTTCCTGGAAAATTAAATGCTGTGAAACATTCTGCTTCTAAAAAAATTTGGACTGATTAGAACAAAACCATGAGATGCCATGAATTGCGAGACTTACTGGGACACACACCCTACTGTAACTCAGACGTTGAATCTTGCGGACTTTTTCAGGCCAAAAAGAGTCAATATGCAATGCGCATACTGCATGCACTCAACTTGCTCTGGTAGATTCCTAGCACTTCCATGCCAGGTCTTCTGGCTTTCTAGGAGGCCTTAGTAGCCGTCCCAGCTGGTACGTCGTGAGGAGAGACAGGGATCCCTAAAGGAGAGGCAAAGTTGCTATGTATACCTACAAACAGCTTAGATGCGCATGAGTCACGAACCCACCGATTACTGAATTCCTAGACTGTATATAGCGTAATTTCAGTGTGAGCTGTGCTAAGCATTTATGGCGTGGCATCTGTCAACCATCTTTACTGTGGAGCAGAACACAACCAGACTCTGCTTAGTACCATCACAAGGATACGTAACTTGGGCTATGACCAAGTCACTGCGGACTTTCATCTGTTCGGGGTGTGTTTGAAGAAAATTTTGGTTCACATCGGCATCACACCACCAGAAATGCAGGACTGACTGAAAATGTTTCAGACGACACTAGGTTGGGTCCTGGTGGGAAGTCATAAAAGATAGATTGTATCCCAACTGGTGACCAGTTACTAGTGAAAAACATTCAGATCAAGACTCACATAGATAGTAATGACCATGCAGTCACAGTGTGTGATCCGGTTCCATGAGAAGGATGCTACATGTGCCTGTCTACACCATAGCATATCGAACTGCACCAAAATGCCAAGATTTTCGGCTGAAGTAGAATAACCCACAGACTGATATAAGGTATCAATAGAGGAACATCTGGAAATGGTGAAGTGGATCAATCCTACATGAGTCTCAGATACCCTCGCTCTGGTCACACTACAAGCTATGAAGCAGTCTTTATGGTTGAAGAGAGGCACTCAGACTATCCTGCAAGATAGGCGGATAGCTTACTTTACATGGCAGCTTTCCAAGAGTCAGACTGCCCATGACGCATGCTTGTAACCGACACAGAACGACGGTCAAAGTCACAAGAAGTTATCTCAGACCAATTGCCCTAGAAAATTCCTGGCAAACACCAAAAGCCTATAATGATTCATATTGGAAGGACAACCTACCAACAAGGGATCATGAGCCCTACAATAACCAAAGTTCAATAACTCACTAGTTTGGAAATGCCTGGAACTTCCATTTCAGCCAAATAACGTTGCGAGAATTACTGCTATAAGCCATAAGGACCACAGTGCTAATTTGCCATGAGAAAACCTAATAAGTACACTCTAAATCAACCTAGCAGTTGTACTAGGTATCAGAATATGGGAGGCGGATATTAGAGGCGAACTTCTATGAACTTTGGAGAGCTACTCACACGAAAGGAAATTGTGCACCAAGACCAATGGTGTCTGTTCATTCTGGCACGCTTCAGCATCAGGAGTATCACAAGGTCCCTGATGATTTTGATTTTTATCAGTAACTTTGTGTACCGTCTAAGCAGCCTGACTCTTCTCTTCGCTGACGACGTCGATTTGGAAAGCAATAAAGCGTTCATAAATCACAAAAAATTCTGGAAGACTGAGCGATAGTCGGTGGTACAGCTTTCAGCCTGAAAAATGCAAAGTAGTGCAGTTACGCAAATATACTCTACACAGTACTAGATACTCTCACTATAACTATAATTTTTCCTGTGTAACACCAGTGAGAGATACTTAAGTGTAGCTCTAACAGGGAAACTGGCTCAAGCCTGAATTACATGGATAATGTGGTGATGGCATATGCGATTATACTCTTTACGCATAGACAGTTTTTATTTTTTTTCATTACAGCTTGATTCCACACCGTATTTTCGGTACAAGTATGGAATTTTCAGCATGTGATTTCGGTAGCCCAAATTTTGCAGGCCGACCATTAATATCAGATGTGCGTCGGCATGGGATCGAACTGCGGACCATGTGTATGGTCGGCAAGAGTCCAAACCACTGTGCCACCGACGCACAGCTCACACCTGAGACTTATTTAAGGCTGCATAAAATATACATAGGACAACACCTTGAAGTTCACAATATCATTTGTCCTCCATTACTCAAAGGAGTGCCATTCTTGAAGAAAGAAACCAAAGACAGGCCGTCACTTAAGATGCACTGACTGGAACTCTGGGTTGACCTGCCTCCCCGACAAATAATACAGTTTTCGCTGACATTTCCAGTTGCTACACCTATTCTGAATACCCAAATACTTTACCCAACTGTCTTCAGGATTGCGTAGCACTTCACATGCCATTCAGCACCACGGTAGTGTCTTGAAATCAGTTCGATTAATTAGTGTTTGGATAGCAGTATCATCGGATCTTACCACTCGCCAAGCCAAGACGTTTCCAGCAACTTACTGCCTACACATATCAAAATGTCCAGCAAGGTTGGTCGTAGTTTGAGCGGAGGCGAGTTTGTTTCTCTTACTCCTGAAGTACTTGATGACGTTGACGATTTAAGTTCCATTTAAATTCTACTACTTGAACAGTTTTCATGATGTTCAAGCCTTAACATTGCAATACACCTTGAATGCTCTCAACTGTTCATTTCTTAACTCAGTAGAAAATCCATGCAGGCGGCTGAATTCAGTCATAGTCATAATATGCTTAGCAACTTGAAAACCTCTACCCGAGCCATCGGAGTGAAAATACTGCCATAAGCATTTACAGGTTCTTCGGAGTGTTGGATGTAAAGCATTGCCTACTGTTCATTTTCAGAGAAACCACTAAGGATATGTAACTCTTCAGTTGACTGTCTCATTAACAATGGCCAGAAACAACATAGAAAGGGTACACTGACGACCATTTGCAGAAGATTCATAAAACTGATCTAAAGGTTTGTAGGGGTAGGTAATTCCCCAGAATTATTCGCCACAGCATTCATCACTGAACATTGGATGCTGACCCTCAATGTGTTAGTTGTTTGCTTAGCTGAAGGCTTCCGGTCATTCGTTCACGCCATCTTGTTACATTCACTCGTTCGTGCACGATCCATAGCTAGTTAAGCAATCATCGTCACACCGATTTGGTCCTGAAATTTAATTCATAATTTGGCTGATCAATTCCAGTGTTTTGCTTTGCCTTTTGGTCTACGGGGATGGAATGCTATAGACGTTGTGGGTATTAGATCTTGCATTAGTACACTTCGTGCCATGCGTGGACGTCAGCACCCTTAGCTTCTAAAGGTTTCTTTTCATGTTTAGCTATTTTCTCATCCCAAAATAATCAAATCCTTTGCTCAAGGCTATGCACTGCTGATTGACTGAGATAAGTAGTCGTGTGGTGAGAGCTGTCTACTAGCCAAATTGGTAGACAGTAATTTACCTCAATGTTTACGTTCCCAAGATTTGTCGTGAGAAAACGTGAACAAAGATTGATTCAAAACCGACCACAGCAGACTTTGCGTAGGCGGATGCAGTTAACATATAGATGATTTGACATTCAAGAAACAGTCACAAAGAGATGAAAGATTAATTTTAAGTGAGAAACAACCAATCGGAAGACTATGTTTGTTTGTTTAAATATCCATAGTAATGTACATGAAATATATAAATATGCGTTGATTTCCTTAATAAATGATCTGTTGCCTTCTGTCGTTACAGTCGTATACCACTCACATAACCCAGCGGTGCTTGTTGGGCAAATTGAATTGATCAAAACACCAACCACCCCTTTTGTTCGCTTAGGGCCTAGTTCATCAGTTCAAAGAGCCGAATAAGATCAAATCATTCGATTTCCGGCCAACTACTAAACCAAAATGCGATACCATAAATCAAATCCACAATATGTGATCTGCTTGATACCATAAATGGTAATACAGTCTTATGCAAAATATGCAGGCTTTCTTGATTACTTTTTATGGAATATTGTGACCTGAATAACTTCAGTATCCGAAAGAAAGTGGCGAAATTTTTACTCGAACCGTGTAAACTGCAAATTCAGTCTAAGTCAATCCTGCATAACTTTTGTAGGAGCTTTTTGAGTCAAGACAATCGGGTTGTAGGGTGAGGCGACCACTAAAAAAATGCCTTTGTTAATTGGATATCAGTAAGTTGTAGGGATTTTATAAACAGAAGAATCTCCCCCAGTGTCTCAAGAGAAAGCTAACATACGTTTGACAGGATGTTTCTCGAAAGAGATTTTATCACTGCTGGAACAAGTTGTCCTCCTAAAATTCTTTCTAAAACTGTCAGCATAAGACTTCCTTCCCACAGAAGAAACCTCAAATACCCAATTGAAGATTGGCCTGTGTTAGGTTATCCATAGATGTCAGGCATTTATCCAAGTAGAAATTCTTCCATAAGTCCTGAAACCATACCTGCTCTTTCACTACCATAGAACTCAGTGGTTCTTTATAAGGTGCAGTCGGCAAAGAAAGGAGGTGAACAGTTAGTCCATATCCAGCTATTAGAGTTATGTCGCAACCCTCCCAAAGCAGCACAAGGAATTCTCATCTGTCTTATTTCGGGAACTTCACTTGTTGAAACATTGCTTCACTGTCAGCAGCGAGCGTTAAAGAACCAACGCGAAACTATAACAGTACTCCAACTAAACTTTTAATAGTAATCTGTTCATGTAACAGCTGACCGTTCAAATGTATGGGTGATGAGGTGGACAGTGTGAAATCTTTTAAGATTATTAATAGACAATGTAACTCAACTCTCTGCATATTTGCTACAGCAATAGCTGTCTCATGCTTAAAACCAGATTTACGTGTTCAGAAAGATTCACTTATCAGTCTTGCCTTGTCTTCTTTCTATCATCTGATTACACAATCCCTCGCTTTGACCTTCACTGCCTTTTTTGTCCTAACGTAATTCAGTTTGTTCCCTTTTTATTTCTGTGAATTGAGTTGAACTCACCGCACTATTGCGCAACCGATGAGTTACTTATCAACAATAACTCACCCCTTGGCTTGATAGAGCAGCTCAATTCTCAATGTATTCGACAATTAATTTTGTATGTATGTATATTGTTTATACTTTGACCTGTCTACATAAGTTATATAAGCGTAACCTTTGAGCATCGTTTACTAACTTTGTGTCTCTGTTAACCAAAAATTATGCAACCCTTGAGAGTACGTTAACATTTCTCTGTACACATGCACAATTAAAATTTAGGTTTAATGCAGCTGAAATGAAACCAACGAAGCATATGAGGGCCTCATCTTATTCTGCACACACATTAGCTTTTGCTTTACTTAAATTCATAAAGGGGGAAAATGTACAAACGAGGATCATCAGCCTTTGCATACAACTTCACTATCGATGTCAACTATGTTGTTTAAGGGAACTTAGATTGCTATGTATCAAATTTCCATCACAGCAACCAAGTCTTATCCCAGCTACGAAGAGAATAACTAGTGGAGTATTAGTAGTTAGTCGGAGCTGGATTACACTACATGACTAATGATCTACAATAGAAGAATTATGGAACTGTTACTTTTCTGAAGCTAAGCTATCTTCACTTTACATCTAGGAAAATAAAAAAATGTAAACTTAACATGCTGGTGGCCGGAAATCGATGCTGATTATACGAGATCAATGACTTTTCCTAACTTTTAGAACAAATCATTATGTGAGAAATCCTTACGGATTACATAGCTACACTTGTTAGATACAGAGACATATTTTCCCCGATTTATTGTAGTATTTCGTTACACGATCACTTTAAAATCCAGATTAATGTAGTTAGCGATGGAAACAACTTACCAGCACTAACACCTTAATTACTAATATATAAGCTAACACCATCTAAGACCAACAGGCATTATTCTCAATCAAACAGGTTGGCAGAGGGAAATAGCATACAGATGTAATTAGGGCTAGGTCAAAATAGTACATAAATCCTTACGGGGTTCAATAGCGAGCCAAAAATTTCAGTGCGTATATCTTAAACTGCAGGAATGAATGTTTTGGACTTGCTTCAAAGAAAAGATATCACGTCTCTGATACTAGCTATAAAAATTACAATAACCTGCAATAATTTAGTTTCGCACAATATAAGATTACCTAAAAGTGAGTTTAGAAGAGCTTGATTTTGAGTGTGCCACAGTGAAATGAGGGGAATCTTTACATAAGATACGATGTATATATATATACATATATATATCATAAGATTAATGGCACAATTCCAATCAACCTGGTCAAAAACAAATCATCAGTTTAGCCTATAAGTGTTTCTGGATTGACTGATTAATTAATATACTACTCAATTATCATTTCTTATCAATTAGCAATTAAGTGACCCTACGGAGAACTGTCGAGCGCAGTTGACGATGTAGCTAATTCAGATATCATTCAAACAAAAATGCAAGACTAAACGAAAATCATTGCGATTTGTGCAGACATCCGGAGACGTTTAGTGTTGTATAAGGTCACAATGAGTTACTCGTAAATTTCAAGTAGACCTTAGAAACTAATGTTCAGTGAAAATATGAAAATCGATAATAGACCCTACCGGGTAGTGATACAAACCAACTAAAATTACAATCAGTAGGATGAAAAAAGTATTTTATTATATCATTTGAAGTGTATGAAATATCAACGTCCAACAGCTTTTTTCTTAGTATCTAACTGTACATCAATTATTTTACCGGGAGCGGAAACTATTTTCGGTTGGGAATTAGATTTGGTCGGATCAGACATGTATGTAGTAGGAGCGCCTTTAAGACCAGCCTTTTGCCAAGTTTTCGCATTCACTCGATCTCTTGTCTCCATCTCGGCAATCAGACGAGAGTTATTCATTGCTTTCAAGGCAAAAACAAAAGAAAACAAAACAAACAAGAGATAGTGAGACAGTGACACAGAGCTGTGAGAGTAAAGAAGGAAAAAAGTGGGACTTTTTGTCATCTTTAGTAACTGAGAACCACTGAGTCATATGAGAATACCAACAAAAAAATAGTGAATTTTTCAAGAATATGGTATCAATCGGTCTCATATCAAAGCAAGGTGTATTACATTTGCAATAAGAAATAGGAGAATTTTCATTTCGCAGAACCTCTTCAGTTATACGATTGCCTAACACATATGTTTATTAAGATTATATAAGTTAGCAAATAACATTTCATATTGCATGTGCTGATCATATTATAAAAGTAGATTATTCAATACAACCTTTTTTGTGTGAATAAAGCGTATCCACAGAGTGAAACCAATCAACTCAACAGGTTGCAGACCTTTATCAACAACTGTCTTCGTTCTATATTGAAGATCAGATGGCCGGAAAGAATTACCAACAAGAAACTATGGGAACAAACAAAGCAAGAACCAATCACCCAACAAATATGCAGGAGAAAGTGAAGATGGATTGGACACTCGCTGAGGAGGTCGCTGGGTAACATCGCGCGTCAGGCCCTCGAGTGGAACCCGAAAGGGAAGCGGCGAGTGGGACGTCGGTGCAAGGGTAACATGGAGGAGATCGTGTGAAGAGGAGTTGAACCAGTATCGAATAACATGGATGCAGGTGAAAAGTACAGCAGAAGACAGAAGCAAGTGAAGACGTGCAGTTGAAGCCCTATGTTCCACTAGGAACTCAAGGGAACAATAATAACAATAACACAGAGTGAAACTATTGACTCCACCATATTACCAAGTAACCACATGAAATCGAATCAAGCAGATAGAATTAGGAAGTCTTCATTCCATTTGTAAATCAAGGGTCGAAGAATTGTCAGAAAACATACGTAGGAGAAAAGACTTTGGGTAAAGTTTGACTCCATGACATAATAATACAGCAAAATCGTATTGTTGACTAGACACATACTTTAGTCCTCATAATCATGCCAAGGAAATCAGATAACTTCATGACTTACGTCATATTGTTCTAGTACTTCGCATTTATTAGACCATAATAGTTGCAGAATCTTCAATATATCTGACCTTGATTACACATCATTTTTTTCCCACCCCCCCATGTGGTAACACCATGGCAAGGTCTTGATTTTTTTCATACTGACAGTTGTGACTACTAATTGTATTATTACTTTTTAAGTCCATATACTTACTAGACTGTGCTCAATGTTTTAGAGATAGCATTGTTTAAACTTATGTGTTATTTCTGTTTAATTTTAAGCCTTACGTAGCGGATCTACAATCTTCATTTGGCTGGGTATGACATCGGATCTTATTCATGGCTTCTGGGCAAAATATAAACTCACATCTACAGTAACTTACCGGTAGAATTTATTACATTAAAAGCCATTTACGACTTCGGATATTGATAGTCTCATCTTAAGCCCCCTTTAAATTTACAGATGATAAAATGGAATTTAAACTCTGCATAGATAAAGTATAAGCGACTCCCTAATGAGATTTCTTCAACTGGAGCATTGATTGTATATCTGTGTGTTGTGACTTTAGTTCCGTCTTTTTCCTTTTTGACTGCTTCCACAGTCGTATCAGTTGACAAACGAGCATATAAACTCGCTGCATCGAAATTGATTACTCTTTCCTACCCTTTTATTAGAATACCCTATCACTTCTGCTTTAAATCTTATGATTAAAACGGTCTTTTTTCGTGAGATCGCATTCGTATACTATTCCAAAATAGGAAGAATGTGCTAACTGAATTATCACTATACTGTTCACAAAGATTGGAAAAGTAGCAGAATCAAAATAATAGACTGTCACAATGAACAAGATATACTTACATTCTTTGAAACCATCAAGAAAACCACGTTTCTTTTCAAGTGCTGGGGGTGTTCGAGGAGTAGGTATGTTAAAAAATGAACGAACAGCTGATTGACGTAAAACTAATGTCTGGATGAAGGCAAGTACATTGCTTACTGTCCAGTACCACACCAAAGCCTGTTATAAAGTAAGAGGTACAAATTTACATAAAGATAACTGCACAAACTTTAACTGAATTGAAAAGGTTTTGACTAAAAAGGGTTTTTAACAAGTTGTTTCTAGGATAATACAAATATTATACTAACAACAAGTAGTGACTACATTTACATTCTTTTAATGAAGCATTCTAATTTACTAACAGTTTGAAGTCTTGAATTTAAATCTCGTTTCCGTTACTGAAGTTTGTGACACAGAAGTAGCGCTAGTTGATGTAAAACTAAATACATTGCAAGCTCATACGTAAGCTGCAGTAATCAATGACAAATAAAGGATTGTTGTATCTCAGTCACAGTTTCTATTAACAACTCATGTATTAAAATAAATTGTAGAGTATAAAGCAAACACAACGGTTTGTGTGGAATAAGACGATACTATTGTAACAGTATACGGTAATACACGGAAGCCAAGGTATATTTTCAAGTGATTAAACCGTTATTTATATATATACAGTTCTATATTCTTTAACCAATCACTGAGCGTATGATTTTGGTTTACATTAAACGACATGAAATAGAATGTTCAAATACATTTATTATTCTGTTGCTAATGCAGTATTGAACTGTGGGAAACGCACCTTGACTTTAACAGCAATAGAATGTTCAAATATGTATACAGTATTCTGTTGCTAACGCAGTATCGAACTGTGGGAATATGTGAAAATAATAGACCTTGGCACACATTGTTTGTATCACACCACCACAATAAACTTAGATTATGAGAACTCAGACTACAACAAAAGATATATGTTATTTCAGTCCTAGTTTCCTTCCAGTAAATTAAGTAGAACACAAACAATAGCAATCATGCCACACAAAAAATCATGACATTATGAACTGCGGTTGAAATACTACTAGCACTAGTAAATAAGTTAAGAAACATCTTAGTTTTAAAAAAAGAAACGATTACTTTTTATGATCATGGATGTCCACCTGGATTAATCGACAGAAATATGAGAAAAATCTCCGTCTCTAAGGTCTACAACTGTTCTTAAGAAAACTGTCTTCATGAACTTAGAGGTGATATTGAAGTAGAAGTATTGAACTATGGGAATAGTATTCTGACTCTAGCAACAAATAAACTGTTCAAGTATATTTATAGTATTCTATTGCTAATGCAGTATTTAACTGTGGCAATATGTGAGAATACTATTCCGTTGGAACAAATTGTCTGCATCATCACACTACCACACTATACTAGTTCACCGGTTTGTTCCCAGCAGCATACAACCTAGAAAATTTATTAAGTATACGTACTGAGGTACTTTTTCACATACTTGAAAAGGTAACATGATGTTAGTTAATAGGAGACTCCGAAAATAATACAGTGTACAGAAGTTACACACCCGTATAAGTTGTACACAGAAGGTTCAAGGTTAAACAATAGATGTTTTGATACATTGGAGCTGCGCAATAAAAACAAGAGGTGGATAAGTTGGCGGTGAGTAACTAATAAGCCCCAACTCAAATAACACAAGAAATATAGAAAAATTAACTAAAATGTATCAAAAGGAAAAGAAAATAGCAAAAGATAATATAATTAAAAAAGGAAGAGTTAAGAAATGGAATTACAAGGAGAAGGAAAGATTGAGAAATGCTTTTTTATGAACACAAGTCAGGTTATAAGCGTTTAGGAACAGTTCCTCAGACAAACTTCAGAAGAACTGAATTACACTGTCGATTGATATTCTTAGGGGATTTAAAGATGTCCACTTCATGACTTGTATCAACTAGATACCTGCCAGTAGTACTGTTGAAACCGTTTGCTTTTTTGAGACGTAAGATTTCCGGTACATGTTTAAAGAATCAAAGATGTGTCTTTCTTCCTGTCGTCTCAATATAACGACTAACACAGATACATATAAATTTGGTTTAAAGAGAGATTTGTAGCTCAGGTGGATGACATTGATGTAGTTGTTTTCTCTGAGCTGGATGGTTTCAAAGCTTTCATTGTCTTACTAGACAACATTCTCAGCGAATTCGTTAATTTGAATTCAGACGTTTAAATTCCAGCACAGTGAGAAGCAGGAGTTAAGAATGCTGACAGATAACATCAACAATTTCATGGAACAGAATATCTTGTGAACAGAGAGATTAAATCAAATGATAACGTGGACTTATTTGGAAACATTCATGTAGCTCATACTTCCAATAAATTGGAAAGAATATTTCACGGTATATACAGCTAGTCGTTGACGAATTAGGTTCCAACTTCCCTGAATGCCAAATAGCAACTTAGTGCTGTAGCGAATTGATCACAGAAATTACACTTCTCAAGGGAACATTTATGGTTTACTGAAACCATAAATGTAAGGCATATGAGAACCGCAGGGTTTTAAATCATTATAAGTGTTATTGTCAATCTGCTTTTTTTTTCAAGAGCTCTCTCAGTATATTTGTGGTGCTCTTTTTAATTGAATCGGTCTTAATTTTTTAAAACATTTTCCAATTTAAGCCTTAACGGGCCGTTCATAACCGATTTCAGAAGCTTCATATACTTATTCCGCTTTATGAAGGAAGACCATGGTTTGTGCAGGATAACAGCAAGAAAGTTGAAAACTCTCCCTCTGCATATACTTAATAATTCTTTGGATTGCTGGAAGCTGAGAAAAACCGGAGAAATAATACCATATAACTTTATTCTGAACACACCATTGTTTTTGCTCTATTCAAATTGATAAAGGGAAGTAAGTGTATGCAATTTTGGAGAAATGGAGAAGTTCTAAAGAAGTCAGAACAAACACTTTAAACAATATTTGAAGACTAATTAATTATTTTATCTGCAACACTGTGTGCCATATCTAGAGTTCTACCTGAATTATGTTAAAATATGCACCGAATATTACAAAATAAATCTTTTACAAATTGTTTCAAAAAAAGAAAAGTATCCCAACAAATAAACTTAGACTTCATTATATGGAGGTATTTTTAACCGCCTAATAGATTTCTCCTTAGAAATCCGGAGAAGTAATTTCAGTCCATTACTTAAACCGAATGCATTTGAGTCACGTGTGAAATCTGAAACACGGGATACGTCTAAAATTACCATAATACACTACCTATTTAATTCATTCATTTGAGTTCCCAGCAGACCATAGGGCTTTAAGTTAGAGCTTTGAAGTTTTAATAGCAGTGGTGTTGTTTACGGGATGAGTTTGCTAGCCTCACGCCCAACCTTCTCTCTTTGTCAGGATTATAACCGGACAAGGAAGATAAAGGTGTGCGCCGGTCGGGACTCGAACCCCAGACCACGTGCATGATTAGCCAGCACTCTACCCCTGAACCACCGACCCACTATGATAATGCATTACATACTAAAATAATACACAGAATATACAAAGCTCAATTTGTCAGGTGTCTAGGCTGTACGCCAACAACTGCATTGCCACTGTGCATCAATAAGCTTTGTGAAAGGTCAGAAATAGACAACGCCTAAATGTACAGGTCAAGAGTAGAGATTCAAATAAACAATGTTCAATAGAGAGCGCAACATAAAGAAAAGGTGTACAGCAAGTACCATTTAACTATAAGAATATAATTACGCCAGACCAAACAGAATGTTGATATACGAAGTGATTGATTCTAGTGGGAATTAATACTTATAGTTACGGAGCGACGAAATGGTAAAAAAGTAAGCTCATACTACTTACTATCAATAAGTAGTACAAGGCTAAACACGAATGAAACAATAATAAAGGATATCTGAGAACGCAGTTAACACGCCTATTACTTTAACTAACATATCAAGTGCGAAAATAACTGAAGTATGCAGTTCCAAAATTTTAGGTCATTCATTTTTCAAACAACATGCATAGCCTAGTAAGTGGGCTTCAAATATTATACAAATAAGTAGGTTAAAGTAATCAAACAATTAATGAAACCAAAGGGTATACTTACAGACGGCATATTCATCACGAAAAGAAAACCAATAACAGGTACCCCCCTCATAATTACTCGTACAATTGGCTGTACATTAGGCGAAGGCATTTCAGCAGCGCTCTAAAAAGATAATTAGAAAATAATTTATTTTGTATGAGAACAACATTCGGGTCACAGAAATTAATGGATGGGAAAAATCATGTCAACACTCAGTCCCTACCGACATATATATATATATATTTCACAAGCCATTGATTGTCTAGCAAAGAAACAAGTATGTATGTTCGAGTTGGTAGTAGGTAACTACCTCCAAGTAAAATAACAGGAGTCTAGCATAAAGGAGTCACTTTGGAGATTTCGTAAATGCATTCCACTAGAAGCACATGGCACTAGAATGAACACGTCGTCCAATTATCCCATAAATACGTCACTACTTTTAGCCTCACTTAAGACGGACTACAGAATGTTTACAGCTGAGAATTTTTATAAGTCATTAGATAATAGGTAATACTTAATGAAAAAATAACAGTGGGGATTACATACAAAGGGCCTTCGATTACCTCGAATGTCACCATCAGTGTGGTCATAGACATAAGCGGCAAGATGTAATATGGATCAGCAATTGTTAAATCAGTGAACCAACCAATTCCTCCTGTTTGCATGCTTTCAACTGGCAAATTGACTAATCCTCGAATTCCTGTGAAAACGGAGAGGAAAATTGGAACCTAATAGTTTGAAAGATGAAGCAAAAAGAAATACTGTTACTGAATATTGATAGGATATTTCGCAAAACTACATAAATAAGACAAGTAATATAGAAACTAATATTTACTGTACACTTTAGTTAACGATTTCAAATATAATGGACAACAATGAAGGCTAAATGAAAATCACACTTTGGAAAGAATTTGAGCCAACAGCCTACTGGAACAACCCCTAGCTTAAGGATAGGGGGAGTAAAATGGTTGAGTGCGTTGACCACTTCGCTTATTTGGGAAGGTGTCTCAACCGCAATCAACTGAGTGTCTAGGAAACCTGAGCACGGTTAAAAAAGGTTTGTCTGGCACTCATCAACTTACTTCATCTTTGGTATAAATATGTTATCCGGCCATTGATTATATAACGTGTATAGTACATAGTGCTTCGCTCTGTCCTTCTTTATAGCTTAAGAAAGTGGAAGATACGAAGAGGCTGGCCATCTTTGACCATATGTGCTTGAGTTCTATCTCTTGTTAGGTGGTACAATATGGTGAGTAATAATGACATTAAGTATAGTGTTAAGCAAGAAGGAGAAACCAATCGATGAGGTTCTGAAGCTGTATTACGAATGACAAGCCATTGTCTTCTTCTCTGAGCAATGTAAGCTGATGTCATATTGGGTTTGAAAAGAGTCAGGGATGTTCCGAACAAAACATGTCACCAGTATATTGACTGTTCTTTTGAGCCAAATAGGTAGGTACAGACTACCTAACTGTGGCTATCAAGACGCTAAGAACTAATGGCTGTTGGTGACACAGCTTAAAATCATTCTCAATGTGGAAGATGTAGTTCATTCTTTTGGCAGTCAGCTTAAATCGTGGGCTATCCAAACGCTTCCATCATTATATTGCATATAATCCCTCTTGTTTACATTGTTTTAGTCTATTAAAATATGAACTCTAATGGTATTTTCTACTCTCGTGAGTATTTAAAATGTCTGCAACCCTCTGGTTCGCAAATTTCTACTGAACTTGAGAAGAAGCAAATTCGTGGTTGGAGACGTATGCCAATATATAAGATAACTGTTCCTGAGACTTTTGCTACAAACTGCAACTGCCTGAGAAGTAAAACTCACTATCTATAGTCTTAAATTATTCAGTTATGTTTTTGGGTCCAAAATTGTACTCCTATACCTTTTTAAATTGACTTTTAACTAAATGTCATGCACTTATCGGAGACAGAAATATCACAGAGGATTGGTTTGTGCATCACGTCAGACAACATTGTATCCAGCGGTATACTGCCAATTACCATTTTATTTGAAGATCTTAGACCAAGAGAATCTATAATACAATAAATTTCACTGGGAATTCCATACGTTATATAAACACTCTCCAGAATAAAGTTATTATTATTATTACTACCCCTAAGATCCAATAAATTCTCATTGTTCTCTATGTATTTATTCTTGCTTGCGTAAATTTCTATTTTTTAAATTTTCTTCGCATTTCTTTACACTACAATCGTGCCCTTTTACGAAGGAGATTTAAACGGTAGCCCTTTTGTGTGAAGTTCTTCACTGATATTACATTTTACCGCAGCTCATGTACTCTCGGGAGCTGCGTTCACTAGGGCCGAATTTTCGTTAGCCTACCAGTTAGCATTTACCGTATAAGTATGAGTAATTCCTTGCAAACATTATGAAGACATGAAAGCTACCTGTATGATGTCTAAGTGCTCCAGGCAAATAAAAAACATAGTATATTGAGAACTTACAGAAATCGAAAATCACGAGTCACCTAGCGTCTAGTAATATGTGCCTGTTCCGAAACCTGGAAGTTGCGTTTTCAATCAATCAGAGATATTTAATTGTGAAGTACTGAAGATTTATTTTTAACTGTGGAGGAAATGTGTGATAAATGCTCTTCAGTTTCTGATGTTTACTTGTGAATGAAACTAATAAGAAACACATTAAACTCCCACAAACCGTGCAAGTTCAAAAATCGCACCATACAGCCTAGAAACTATACGATCTTTAGTAGAAATTATTTGCCATAAATTAATGAAGAGTTCTTGAGAAATGCAGATGAAGTCGATTGTATTAAGCATCATTATTTAAATGGAAAGACTAAAAACAGTGGATTTCTTGTGAGATAAGAAGCAATCAACCAAAACAAGACAAAACTCACCTGGACAAAGATATATTTGAAGCTTTGCAGTGGATTCAGATTGTTTGTTGACATAAATTTCTGCATCTCCTGAGAAGTACGCATGACTGTAGACAAATGAAAAGATATATATATATATATATATATATATTATAGACATGAATCCTTTCTGCTTTAGGCAAAACTAATTAGCGTAAAGCCAGTGATAATTATTTTCATATAGCTAAAACTAACTAAATGAAAATTTGAGAAGCCCATCAATACGTCTGCTTTCCATCAAAATAACCAATCGTCCTACTGCAATAAAAGTAATCACATTGACTTCTGAATAAGCTGCTCAATTTTTCTTTATTTTACTTTTTCAGAGGGTGCTAATAATTCGGTACTGATAAAGCGAATGTACAGACGTAACCGGAGTTAATGGAATATCCAAAAACAGTATTCATCACTTGAAATACACCCTGAGACACTCATATGATCAGAAAGTTCTCTCCACTAGTAATTCATTGTTAGCAGCTTTTAGTTATTTTCTTCCTGAACCGAAAATTTCACCTCTTAAGCAGACATCTAGGTGTATTCAGTATCAGTAACACTTACTGATATTTATTTATTCTGAATCAAAAGACTTTCGCCAAAATTAGAATGGTTACTGGCCTTTAGTGGGCTGTCAACGTATGCGTGGTTGAAATTACTCAGATGTCACACAATTATGACTAGTAGGATTACGAGAATTCATCTGATCAAGTCATGCAAGTAAAGTGAAGATGTAGTAAAACCAACATAAGAGAAGGCAGAAACCTGAAGGCATAACTGGCTATAATACAACAAACTGATTTGAAGTATGCTGCGTTAACGATATTGAAAGTTCATACCATAAGGTTCACATGGGTTCAGTCCCTTCCACAGGCAAAAAGGAAGGAATGAACTGATAAGACAGTCAATGTTTAAGCCCTCATTTGCTGGGGGTGGGGAATTTTTGGATTCAAATTTAAATTTGTGCAACAGCATATATATAAGTTACTCATATCTTTTGAAATTCATTTGACCGCATACGGAGATGGGGTGGCTGATATTGCACATTTAGGACACAGTAATATTTACTCACTGAAGGTGTTTTAAGCACAATTTATTTCTCACAAGCATTCAGGTGAAACTGATTTTATTTGTGTGCATCTTCGGTGCATTCAGTACCGTGGTTATTTACTTCTCATTACACTAAGTCAAATTTATAGCATAGTCAAGAATCATATCTATCTTTGAATCTTAAAATAGTTTGAGAAGAACTATGTTCAGCAAGTAAGCTTCCATTTCAGCAATAGAACTATGTACTATTTTGACCTCTTCAACTCAAATATTAGATAATTTTACATCAACTTCTATTATATGGTAGGAGTAACTTAGTAAAAACATTTAAATAATACGAGTAGTTTCATTACAGATAACACAAATGAAAAGAAATAACAGTGACATAATCAAAGTGGCGGCGATTAAAATTAATGATAACAATTAGTAGAGGTAGTAATAACGATAGTATTAATAAGAATAATAATGGACGTACACCCAAATACCGACGGAATTGACTAAAATATCATTCTAAACCTAGTGGTTTTTGAATCTGTCGATTTAATGGACAGGATCGATCATTTGCTAGTGATGTATAGATTGCTTGTAAGGACACCTTAGTATCAGATGTAGTGACCAACTTTCGTTCTCAGTTATTAGTTTTTAACGATATTCCATAAAAAAAGATTGGATATGAGATTAGGTTAGACTAGGATAAGTATTCCTGTGGCACTGTATTCATTCCTCTCCATCCTGAAAACAGCCCCAGCTTTTTCCGGTTAGAAGTTGAGAAGAGAGAGATATTTTACTGCTTTGTGTATTCAAGTGAAGACACACGTTACTTAGCTAAAGCATGGTCCTTGTTTCTGTATACAATTTTAGCTATTATTATCATGAATATTATGATAAATGCTTGCAGCGATAACTTGATGTTAGCCTCACATTTGGGGTAGCGCCATAACAAAACACAATGCCACCTAAAATGTTCACTCTTTGATACCAACTGAGGAGCAAGTGAACTCTGCTAGGATCCTGGAAGGCTTTAATGAATATCTGTGGAAACTCAAGTCCCAGTGAAATTCCAAGAATAACTCAATCAATATGCTTGGAAGGTACACATGTTATTTGCACTCATCAGACCGCCTAGTGGCATTAGTATTACGTCTAAAAGATGTCAGTATTACACACTAAGAGCTGTACTACTCAAGTAAACCTTCATCACCTGCTGTGAGTGTGGTTTTGAACTAGTTGATTCCGTTAAATTGAAAATCGACTGGTAACAGATGCTATACGCTTACGTCATTTCTGCTTGCGTATTGATGGATTTAATTCCAAATGAAATCAAGGAGAAGTACTACAACCAAATTTGTAACCATCCATATAAAGTTCATTCTATACATATTGTGTTTCTAGACAGAAAAATGAACATGCAAATCGACGACCAATATACCTAGAGAATAGTCAATTGATAAGTCAACACAATAACTGACTGCAAGTAAAAAGCTGAGGACTATTTCCAATAGCTTCGTTGGGACCTCAATTTACATTTTTCAACAAGAATATCTTTCGTAGTCATTACTGTTGTAATATTCAGAGTCTCTCCTAACTAAATCTGTGCCCATCTGAGAGGCGCTCTAATGAAGTACTTTTACCAGTCTTCCCTGTGTACTTAGTTCATCATGCATCCTTATGATCACCATAATATTCATCCTGAATTAGAGGCGAAAGTATACTGTTTATACTATCACCGTAACTGAGTATTATATTCAGACTTAGTGAATGATTCTTTTGAGGGTCTGGATGAATGCTGGCAACACAAGATACAGTGAAGATGGTAAGTGAAATCTCTTATAGTAAAAAAGGGCTGGCTAAGAGGCACTGAGTTTATAACTTTATGGCACCCGAAGTTCCATCTTAGCGGATAGGAACATTGGTTGAAGTAGAATTCAGCTAACGAAATCAGAGGTGATGAAGCCAAACATGATACCAGTTCACAAAATCTCTGACTGCTTGTTTGAGGCACATAGGGAGGTTTGAGGTAGCTAAATAGAATTCTTAGGATGTTAGGAGATAGGTGGCTGGAAACTTTTAACATGATTATTTAAACTGGTGTAACTCTGTGCAAAGTTTTACTTTGACCTCTTCGTATTTGTTCTTCCTCTCATTGATGCCACACACGCTAATTACACACTAATTCAATGTTAGCGAAGGTAGCAACTGAGTTGGCAACAGAAAGAGACACAAACAGAATCGAAAATAATTAATATGGACCATTGTATTGTTGAGAAGGTATGAGCGATTCTTATTATCTGTATATATTGGAGCAACTGAAAAAACAATAGACTATTTGTTTAAAAATGGCATCAAAGTTAATATTACCTTTTAAAAACCCATCATGAAAAGGTATTTAAAAGTGCCAACTATTGAAAAGCTGCACAAATCGCTTAGGTAACCTTACTGATATAAACGAAAAGATACAAAATAGAGTTTTAAAAAATGGGACTTTAGTGGCCGATATTTTAATTCTATTAAGTATTACAGCTGGAGATACTGACGGATCTTGTTAAGGTTAATTATAACGAAGCCAAAAGGAATGATTTTGTTCTTGCAAACTGGTGTCCAGGAAATTATTTCCATTACAGTGATATGCTACTCTGTCATACTATCATTCAACGAGCTAATATGGAATAACAGAAATCCAAGAGACAAAGGGTATGTACGTTTTTATTTCCATCTCTTGCTTCTCGAGTGGAACATATGGCTCCATATTTTTTGAATTTCTAGTAGCGGTGTAGTTTGGGGGGAGTTTTTAGCTTCAGGTCCAATCTTCCCTCTCTACCATGCTTACTATCGGCTAGGGGAAGGTTTGAGAGTGCGTTGGCCGGGAGTCGAGTCCGGGAGTTTGGTGTGGTTGGTGAACATTGTACTACTGGACCATCGACATACTATAGTCAACAGTAACACACATTAACCACAGTATAATAAAGCTAACCGTCAACTTACAATAGCACTTATCAGTTGTACTGAATATGTAATCCTAGTATCCATTACAAAAACATGACTCACCTTCAACATAATTTCCTGAAAGTCTGGCGTGCGTTAGACGTTCTTGTAAAATTGTGAACTGAGGCATAGCGTCAGTGAACTTGGCCAAACTACGTCGCTGGCGAACCATGAGTGGAAACAAACACAAACGTATTATGACAGTTGCTGAAAATGAGATTAAATTACATAAAAAATAGTATTAGTTGAAAATCCAAATGAAAACTTTTGAAAGAACAGTATACGAATATATATATATATATATGTAACTGAAACAACCGGTCGAACAAATTTCCATGGAAGCTGAGTAACCACTGCTATACAGTGCAGTAAGAGTCTGCAACCGCAAGACAAAATAGGTGAATACAATAGGGTAGGAAAGTATGTTATTACCTTAAGAAAAATATATAGATGGATACTTTGTTATCTAGAATCTTCCAGTGTTTATGTTGACTCCTTCAAACGTCAATCAATCTAAACGTTTTACAGAATTCAAGAAGTCTCAACAAATACACGAAACTTGTAACTAATTACGCTGTACTCTTTCATGATACATCAAATTGTGCGAATACTGGTATGTGAGTAACAAGATAAATTTACCAGTAAACACAAGCTTAAGTATCTTTCCTACCTAAATATCTAAATATTCTCCGTAATTTGGATGTACGACGACTCACTAATTACAAAACTGTCCAGAACTTATTTCCTGCTCGTTACCAAAATAAGGAAATACACTAACAAGGACGGTCAGATTAACCAAGTTGTCTAATATCCTTTCTATAAGCAAGATTTATACTGTAAAATAATTTTATAACAAATATATGAGCTGAATACCACTTGTGCCATAACATTCAAGCATACAACTGAGAGGAAAGTAGTATAAAAAGTTTTGATTAGTAAACTTACTGGTAGTAATTGCAACCCACCACGGCAATTCTAAATGGACATGTAAAGCCTCCAACAGACTTTGATACCACCCTGAAGGCCAATAGCTATTCAAACCCAGAGAGGCAAGAGTTGGTTCACCCAAAGAATTTAAAATAATTTCCCTAGGTGGTGGTAATGGAGCTTCAGGTAGATAAGAAGTGGAAGCTGTTGACAACTGAATACTGGTAGAGAACTTGCAAATAGTGGGTGCGACGCGAAATGTATGCCTAGCAAACAGCATTGTTGGTATGACTCTAGTTATTTCCCTCATTCGTAGCATGACTGTTATTTATCAACAGCTAGTAGATTATTCAGAAATGGAAAAATAATCTGAAAGACAGAATCGAAAGGGAGAGACTAGTTATTTTTTATATGAGCAGAAATACCCGTCATTAGACAGGACAAAACGTTTATAGAAAATAAATCAGGTGCCATACATAACATCCACCAAAATTGAATAATTGGGTCAAAAGCTGGTTTAACTTACAAAAGAAGGGAAGCAGGGAAGTGATAATTTCGAATGCACCAAAACAACAGTGTATTACATAAAATGACAAATGAAGGTCAGATTCAACACACTTTTAAATCATAAGCCCCAGGAAAGAAGTCATTTGGTGCAAACATTCAAGTCTCCTCAGACCATCAGTGACTTCTCATGTTGACAGAGAAATGTCCCTCACTTTTGTGCGTACTAATTAATCTGTATGGCTTCTGACTTACGCTATGCAGTCTGCCAACAGTTTAGATTCACAGAATGTCACATTTTGGCCGTCGAGATACACTTCGAAACTATGCATCAGAGAGTGATGTTAACCAACCGACCTCCAGATGCAGGAGTCTGAAAATTTTCGAACTAATGTGCTAATTCCATCTCCCTGGTCCTTAAACTGACTGGTTTCAACGTAGAAATTTGCAGTTCGAACTGCCACACTTCACATAGCACATAGAGCAAGAGAAGAGAGTAAAGAGATTCAAAACAGAGATAATAAACAGAAATGAGGCAAAAAGACTAGTAACATGGAAGAACAAGTTTTATTGGTTATTATACACCACAAGGAGTGCATGCGTTTGCGCGATTGAGAACAATTGGTACTTCGACATCTTTCAGGTGCTGTGGTTATTCCCCAAGAATGAATGCTCACGGCACAACCATATTCCAACCGATAGTGACTTGTGTTGTTCGGCTAGATGACCTAGGAAAAACTCAGACCCCAAATAAAACATTCCGGTGGAATTTTGTTGAACCCTCTGTTTAGATACTTACTGAATATAACTATGACAGTACGAAAAGTTTCGTTAACTTTTGTCGTACAACAAAAAGCTAAGCCGCCGAATGCGATTATCATAACATTTGTCTCGGATGTAAGTATGGGAAGCCTCAGTCAGTATTCGTCTGGACCCTACGATCACAAAACAGTAATCTTTTTCTTCGTTCAGTCACTTTAGGAAATCACCTTTATGGTATGAGTAGCTGAGAATTAGTAATCACCCGCATACCTCTACACACAATGTACTTAGGTTCGTTTTCTTACTTTCCTCTCAATCCTAATACCATTCATCAGACAGATTCTGAATTTCTTTTCTTCGTAGCCGCTGCTAGCGACTTTAACCACATAAATGCTGTGTTTATTCTCTTGGAACTGTGTTGATAACTTCATATGGGGATTTTAATTTCTGAATCTTATATGGAATCAAAAAGCAGGCCTCACTAACCAAGCTACAAAATTTATACTACAGGTGGTAGGTTTTTTCGCTAGTTCTTGTGAATTTCACAATGATCGAAGAGTTTACTATTCTACTACATCCCATTTAGCATTTGTATGAGTACCGCCCACATGAATTTCTGTAAAAATAAGGAAAGATCATCGTCGAAGCACTACAAGGCCATTACATGTCTAGCTACATAATGCAAATTGGTGTATCATAATATAACAACATATGCATATGGGGCACTGCTAATCCTGACACTAGATTAAGTCTGCTATAGAAATTGGATGAAGTCAAATGACAACCCGAAGTTGAAGATTAATAAATGCTAATGGACTTCCGCTGTTTCATGAGTAATGATCGATGCCCCATGCGTGATGGGAAACCATAGCTGACAAAAAGCCTTCACAATGACTCCAAACAGTGGCAGATGACACAAAACAAAAAGAATAAAAAAGCATCAGTAATAACTAACACCCGTCGATTATCCAGGCTCACTAGGGAAATGAGTTTAAAAATTCTTAGGCAAATTAAATGAACTCAGCGAATTAACATTCAATAATTTTCAGGGGGACGGACGAAGCAAAAAATTAGAGGAGCGGCTCGAAAGACACAGAAAAAAAGACAAATGCTATTTATTAAACCCTAGTCTGAATAAGATGTTGGTGCCGCTGCATTAACTGTAACCTAAGTTATAACAGCTGACTGTTATGAGATGTGGCTTAACAGCAGGATTTGACAGTTAACACAGAAGCAATTAAATGTATTCGATTCAGTATAACAGAATTTTACATTGGGAATATGAGTTAACAGTAGATAAACTAAATAAATAAAATGTTAGGGAACCGATATGGTAACTTCATTAGATAAAAAACGTAAAGTCCTCCAGTCAGTTATAGTCACTCCTGTGCCATTAAATTACAATTTTTGTTACTATTTGACATGAGAGTTTTCAAAGCGTAACTTAATCTTACTGTAACTTTGACGTCCAAAAACTTACGGGATTGGCTGATGACCTTCATCGGTTAGATAGCCCACGCGTTTTTCAACACACTCTTTCAATATCCAATATCGTTTTTGACGAGCTAGTGTAGACCAATTTGATTTCTTTATGTTCGCTTCTTAATTGTGAAGTAAAGATTCCTGGCCTTTTGCGTAAATCATCCCAAAACTCGACTGACGTAGCTTTGGTTGACTCTGAAAGTAGTGGTACTGGGATTAATTATGTGTAATTTTTAGTATGCGATGTGCTAACACCGTGTTACTACTATGAATGCAGTTGGTTTTTTCACCTGTTAGACGTCCGGTGTCGTCGTTAAAAGAGATAATACCAACAGATATCATTAGCGTAGGTTAAGTAGACTTAAAAATTAGAAAGTAAACCTAAAATCAGATAGCTAGTGAAATTGGAAATTTATTCATGTGTTGTACGCTTATATACACATCAGTAATAATAATAGTAAAGTTCATTTCTGCATTCTGTCCACTCAATGAATTGTTTCAACAGCTTAACAAACCCTAAGTCCTTTGATAACTGATTTTATGTGCAAATGTTCTTGACTTTAAAAAGGGGTTATGCAACAAATTTCGGAGTTACCACAATTACCACTATGACATTATCCCAACTTTGTTTTGCAATCTTCCTGCGCTAGTAGTCTAACTAGTTCAAACTAATAATATTAGTGGAGTGTCTTTTTTGTGCGTGCAACCACTTACGGATTCCATGTTATCAGAATGCTGATCTGGTGTGAAAACGTTAACCGTATTTAATCACAAGAGCTAAGTACTGTTTATTATTCATCTGTTCAGTTGGGATTTTTGCTCACCAACTTAGTGTCCTGAAGATAAGCTTAGCACTTTTGTAGTTTATAACTGAAATACGACAACTAATGTCTTGTTTGATCATGGGACAACCGATAGTTTGTCTCTCATTCTTGGATAACAGATGTCAGTACAAGGCCATCAGTGGCTTTACAGAGTATTACCACACATAAATGAATAATCTGGTGTTCTCATTAAATAGAAGTACAAGTGGTCAGGTTGAACATAAACTGTTGCAATTTCACTCAATGAGCAGATCAATTTCCATGAATTGTAATCGTCGCTAGCGTGTGAAAATTCGTGGTCATTGACTTAAATGACAACAAATGTTCGTCCAGATGTAGTGATCTGCTATCATGGTCACAGTACGTGTGCCATATTCATGTGGTTGACTGAGGGTAATTTTTCACACTTTTTTCATTAAAAATTGATTCCACACCGTACTTTGTGGTTCAGGTATGGAATTTTCAGCATGTGATATCGGTAGTCCAAGTTTTGCAGGCCGACCGTAGATATCAAGTGTGCGTCGGCAGGGGTTCCAACCCCGGACCATGTACATGGTCGGCGAGAGTCCTAACCGCTGTGCCACCGACGCATGAATTATGGAGCCATAAACAAAAGATAGAAATGTGGTATTAACGAGTAAAACCCATTCAAATTTCAGTGGCACTGTTTTGGAATGTCAGAATAGCGAAAAGTTATGATACAAACAAGGATGTTAATTAAAACAAAAGACATAAAAATTGTATCATTTATTCATTCACCAAAAGTGTTAGAAATCACCACACTATGCTGTTCATGTCTGCATGTAGTCAGATTAATTTTATTCAGAATCAGCAGCACCTCAGCCATACATTTAATGAGTTCTGCGTTGGTTGTCACCACTAAACGCTAAAGTTTTTCTGGAAAGTAACTCTCGTGTTTTGTCTGTATAGGCATTGCAGTTTTGTATCTTATTTGTTCAACTAAAACGTGCTTGATTTCTAGGTAAGTAGTGCATGAATTTATTTGCCTTTATATTTGAAGAAAGACGGTCGTAGATATATGACAACAAAAACTGTTGAAGAAGTACTCTGGAGACTAATTGTGCTGTATCTGTCATGCTCATTAAAGGAATTTATAATAATTATAATATTATAATGGGATCTTCAAGCTGGCAGTCCGTTCAAGATTGTTGAATGCTGCACATTTCTCGGTAACCAACTGATTCAGTTACACATGACTCCGTTGTGTTGCTCTATTTGACTAAACTAGCGTACACGTATATCCCAGTACTTCTCGTCTATTATTGTGTCCCAACGTTGTGATTACTCGACATCCACAACGTAAATCACAAGGCACATGAGAAGGAATTCGAACGTGTATTGTCGCAGTAATCAAAATTCAAAAGTTGAGCGAGTGCAATTGTTAACGGGCAATCTTTAGAGTGATAAACAAATGAAAGTTCAATTACATAGTGAAAGTATTTATTATATTATTAAGCTTGATTCACACTATTTCAGTACAAGTATGGAATTTCAGCATGGATATCCCACGATGATGCATAATAAAATAGGTCACTACAATAGCCTCTCCGTAGAATGCAGGTAAATGAAGTCTACCTGTATTCGGAATGTTATTGTAAATTACGACATAAAAATTTCTAAGAGTTTTCTGGTATGAAAACCGAATTGAGGATTTTAAGTTTTCTGAGGTTTGACAATATAACTGTACATATTCGAAAATTCTAACGACTTTGAAGCGAACCAAAAT